AGGCTTCCATCACACAACACAATCCTTCAATCTATATAATTGTGTATTAGATTTTAGGTATTGAGCGTCAAATATTGGAGAAGATTTGTAATTTTTCCGTGCAAAAATTACTAGTGAGATTTTATCCCGGGGGGGTCGTGGAGTAGGTCTTGAGGTGCCGAACCACGTTAAATATTTTGGGTGCTCTTTTTCTTTCCTTTCCATTTGTTTTCAGTGGAGGCCTAACAAAAATATTAAAAATGCCTAAAAAAAGAATAAAAAGAACTAACCAAACCCGACTTATCAACTGTGGTCACAACACAATCAACTAGTGTGGAGGGGGAAGGAGTCTTCCGGCGCTGGCGATCGTGGCTAAGGCAATACAAGTGCATGAGGAATGAATGGATGCTAATGAGGATAATTGGTGTGAGCAACAAAATGAGGGGCAAATTGCACCCCCTTTTAATTTTTTAATGAATGAGGCATGGGTCCCTCATGGTGGAATCCATGTGGGTTCAGGAGGCATTGAATTGGCTGAAGGAATGGATCAGGGAGCAACAGATTACGGTGGAAATGGAAACAGCTGACATGGTCTTTTAAGAACCTTTTGGTGCTTTTTCTTGGGCTTGGTGCATGTAAAATATCAGCAGATCAGATTGCTTACTTGATGGCTAGGGAGTCTAATTCTATGTCTTGTTGTCTGGAGTGGATGTCGGTCTCTCCGGATTTTAATTTGGATGTTTTGTATTGATGCTTTGAAATACTACTTCTGTCTCACTCTTTTTGTCCACTTTTGACTTTTGGAACTGTTCATCTAAACACTTTGACTCATCAAATTCTCTCAATATTTAAGCCTAAATATAGTCATGTGTGATCTTGTTTCATTTGTCTTAACATATAGATTATTAATATATAATTTTTTAATATACAAATTACAAGATAAAATGGATTAAAGAAGTGCATTGGATGATGTGCCAAAAGGTAAGTGGACAAAGAGAGTGGGACGGAGGGAGTAATACAAGAGCTTTTTCAAAAAAATAATTAAATATTTAAGTGGTGATCCTTTCAAAATGATTTCAAGACTTAATCTATTTTAGTAAAGAAAAATACTTTGCTGTGTTGGCATCTCACCGTATGTTAAGTATAAATCACCCTAAGAGCATGTGTAGTGGCAAGGAAGAGGGATGCCTTGCACTGCCACATCAGCTTTTTCCACTCTTATCATGGCATGGCAAGGCCAAAATGCCTTGCTTGGTGAGGCATGAGTGTGGCACTCCATCCTTCCTTTTTTTTTTTCAAATAATTTTTTTAAAATTTTTATGAAAAAAAAAATGTACAAGAAAGTAGAATACTTTTTTAATAAAATAAATAATAAAAATATTTTTTTATGTTTAAAAAAGTAAAAAAATGTAAAAAAAATGATAAAAAATAATGACTTAACATTGTAGAACTTGCCACTCCATGCAATTGCCACACGCTGACTGGATTATTTTTGATTGGTTAAAATGTTTCATGTCACCGTGTGGCATTCCATTTTTGCCTTGCCATTGTTCATGCTCTAAATAGGACTAAAACATAGAGAAAAGTATCAAAATAAGACTTTCATTCATGTTTTTTTCTGAAATAACACTTTACACTGTAATAATGTGGCACTGTACATGTGCACATTACTATACTTTTTTGGTAACGTACATGACCATGTTTGGTAATGTAGGTCCTATTTTGAGAATAAAAACATGAAAGTCGTATTTTAGTATATTTTCAATGTTTTAGTCCTACATTGGTCTTTCTCCTTAGGTTAAGCCTATTTTCAAGGGAGTTTTTTACATAAAAAAGACCTATTTATTTTAAAATTAAAGCCTATTTTCAATTCAATTTATTTTACTGTAGATGTTAAATTTAATAATAAAAACTTTAATAATAAAATTTTCTACAGAGCACGAGATAACAAAAATATATTATTTTATGAAATGAATAATAAAAATAAGCAAAAACTATATATATGTGTGTGTGTGTGTGTGTGCAACGCACGGGTACGAGATGTTATCCCAAGATTGTCGCTTACACCGTCAGATGCAAGAATTCGTTTTAAGTTTCAAAGGAAACAATTCTCAATCATGATTTCATATGTCAAGACAATTAACAAAAGTCAAGGTCAATCTTTGTCGCGTGTTGGAATGTTACTAAAAAAATTGGTATTCAGTCATGGTCAACTTTATGTGGTAATTTCACGTGTTACAAGTCGCCAAGGGCTAAAGATCTTGATTTGTAGTAAAGACCTTCCATCATGTAACCAAACTACGAATGTAGTTTATAAAGAAGTGATCCAAAACTTATAACACTTCATATCGACATTGGTTATTAGTGTATACTCCTTTTTTTGCAAATTTAGTAATTTATGTAATCTTTTGTAACATTTTTCCTTATTCAAAACATTTACTGATTATACCAGTCTAGTTTTTATAAACAACATAACAATATGCTCTTGCCACATATTTGTGTCAATATATTAAAAATATAATAACTTGGACCTTTTGTAGTAGGAGCAAAACATTGAAAATATCATACCAAAATAAGAGTTCCACGTTTTTATTTCATGAAGTAGGAGTTAAAATGCATTTACAGTGTTAATCGTGATCATATACTTTAATTTACTAAAAAGTATTGTAAAATATTCATGTACAATGCTACATTATCATAGTGCGAACTCCTATTTAGGCGATAAAAATATGAATCTCTTATTTTAGTACTTTCTCTATTTTTTACTCTTATTATTTAAGATGATTTCATTTGTGCTATCATTTCGGGGAAAAGATTAGTAGTGAGTAACACTATTTTTCAAGAAAAAATTACTAGAAAAGTAATTTCTGGTTCCCCACCACTAGCTTTGGGAAAAAATATATATCTTGAAACAAATTTCGCAGTACGAATTGCAAGGATTGACGAAAATAATTCATAATCTGGCTTTTGAAAAAAATTGTGTGTAGTATAGATTAAAAAAACCTATATTGAATTGTAAAATATTAGTTCCATTTTGGAAAAGAATTATTTTTCCGATGATTCATTCAAAAAGAATTATGAAACAACATTTAAAAAGTTGTAAAATTAGTGCTACAATCTTATACATTCAAGGGAATAGTTAGATTGAAATATCAAAAAAATTGGGTTACAATTTTATTCGTACTATATTCTCATTTTCTGAAACAAAACTAAATATTTTTTTATGTCTCACTAAAATATTGTTTTTCTCGAAAAAATTAGTTTTCGATGATGCATTACTTTTTCTTTCCTAAAACGACACTACAAAAGAAATTGTGAGCTGATATATTTTCAAAAGACTAACACAAATCTTTGAAAAAAGCATACTTTTATAGTTTTTTTTGGAAACATTATATTATTTAAATTTTAAAAAATTAAAAAAATATAAAAAGGAAATTTGTCTCAAGTAATCTCAACTTTTATTTTATTGCGCAAAATAAATATTTTTTAAAAAAAACTCGTTAGGTCACTATTACATATCTAACGGCGACATAAAACTCACCCACGCGGGAAAATGTGAGATTATTACATGTAACATTGATAACTAATATTATTTTTGGAAAACTTTGTAAAGATGTGATTAATTACTTCAGATAATTTTTCTTTTTTAACCCAAAAAAACAAATCCTAAATTTGGTTCGGATCCAAACATTATAGTGTCTTGATCGGATCTCTAATTACTTGATCTCATTTTGCACTAAATAGCACAAAAACTTAAGTCATTTCTCTAAATAAGACTTAAACTATTTTATTCCCTAAATAGCACTTTATTATGTGTAGAAGGGGGAATAATGTCCAGTGATGACGAACATTTACTTGAACAATGACTAATGGATAATAACTAAAAGTGCTACATTGGAAAAAAAAGATATACTACCTCCGTCCCGTGAAACATTTCCCCTTCTTTTTTTATCCGTCCCACAAAACACTTCTCATTTCTATTAAAAAGTCACTTTTACCCCTTACTTTTTCATACCCTAACTATCACATCATACCTTTTTACTAATAATCTACCCATCAAATCATACTTTTACCCATCACATCAAAGAACATTTTTGGAAATTCAATACCAAAATACACTCCTTTAAATCCCTCCTAAAAAGCAAATGTCCCATGTTTCACGGGACGGAGGTAGTATGATGTTATTTAGGAAAAGTGCTACATTAGAAAAAAACAAATATGATGTTATTCAAGAAAGGTGCTACATTAGGAAAAAAACATACTCCCTCCGTCCCAAAAAAATTTACATCTTTAAAAAAATTACGTCCCACAATCCTCTACCCATTTCTATTAAAAAACCACTTTTACTCCTTACTTTTTCAAACCCTACCTATCACATCATATCTTTTTCCTAATAATCTACACATCACATCCTACTTTTATCCATAACATCAAGGGTATTTTTGGAAAGTAAACACAAAATTATCTCTCCCTTAATTTCAACTTTAGTCAAAACGTGTAAATTTTGTTGGGACGGAGATAGTATATGATATTATCTAGTTCGTCATGTTATGATGAATAAATCAAACACATACATGCAGCTACGTGGTCACATTTTTACGGCGACCATTTCTCTTGTCATTTCTATTTGCTCCCACAATGATCTAAGTATTATTGAACCCACCCCACTCTTCCAACAATTGTTATTTACGTAGCCAATTTAACCTTGAACCAAAATCCATAAAATATATATATATAATGATCTGAAATGGAAAAACAAAAACAAAGACACACAAGGATTTTGGCTTTTGGCAAGATTAATAGGGTTTATACATGCATGGAAATCTGGCTTTCTTGCTCGTGATCCATGCAAAGTCGATCCCCTTCTGGTGGATACATATTAACATTCTTTTTCATTAATTATGTATGTAAAAGAAAAATGGATGGGGAGCGGCGTAGATGAGAAAGATGCATTGTCCTCTAATAATAGGGTTGTGAGACATAATAACCACATCCATACCATCATTGGCTCCTGCTGTCTTATTATTATTATGGGGGTATTTATTCTGGTTGTGGCTTATTGTTACATGATGACGATGACCGGCGGGGATGCGACGGCAGAACAACAACTGATGATGATGATGAGGAGGAGGAGAACGCGAAATGGCGGGGGCGGATCGTCGCCGATCCGAAAATGCGATTTGTTTTCTGGGAGATGGGTTTATGACAACAAATCATATCCCTTGTACAGGGAGGGGGAGTGCTCTTTCCTGGCTGATGATTTTGCTTGTGAGAAGTATGGGAGAAAGGACTTGTTGTATCAGCATTGGAGATGGCAGCCTCATCATTGTCATCTCCCAAGGTCTTTCCTTTTTTCTTTCTTTCACTCACAAAATCAATATTCTCTCTCTCCCTCTTCCTATTTTCATCGCAGAATATTCGTACAGTTTACTCCCTCCGTCCGGAAATATTCTTCACATTTGACTTTTCTTGATCAAAGTTTATAAACTTTGACTCCGATTTGTGGAAAAAGTACATTGTATTGTGATATAAATTTAATATCAATATATTCTTAACAAAATGTAATTTTGAAATATCAATTTGGACATAAGAAGTACGGAGTATTTTATTTCATGATTAATTAAAATATGTATAAAAAAAGATTATGTAATATTATTAGACATTTAGACTACCCTATGAATAGTGTTTGTGAAGGCTAGCTAATATGGAGTGGCAAGAGTGAAATTTAAGTTTATCAACTTTATGTTATTTTCTTTTTGTAGGAATATTGAAATATTGACCGTTTAATAAGTTTGTATTCATGACATTATCAACAAAGGTTTAATGCCACTGCACTACTAGAGAAACTCACAGGGAAAAGGCTTGTGTTTGTGGGGGATTCTCTAAACAAGAACCAGTGGATGTCAATGGTGTGTATGCTTGAATCTTCTTTATCTCCTTCATTGAAATCATCCATTTGGAAAGGCAATTTGATCACTTTTGAAGCCAAGGTAAGAACAAGAATTTTTTTTTGTGGTATAAAATTAAACTTTTTGTTGAGTTGATTGCATCGTTTATTTCTTCTAGTCTTGAAAAATTATACGGAGTAATTAATGAAGGAATACAATGCAACGGTAGATTTCTATTGGTCTCCGTTGCTCGTGGAATCCAACTGTGATGACCCAGTAGACCATCATGTCAGAGATCGAATTGTCAGAATAAAGGCAATCGAAAAGCATGCCAAGCATTGGACCAATGCAGATATATTGGTCTTTGACTCATTTATGTGGTGGCTAGAGCCTACCATGACACTTTTGTGAGTACATTCATCTTTTTTCACACCAAAAAATCAAACAAGAAAAATATTTTTTTGTAATTAATGATTCATATTCCGGGGTATATAATTAATGATGATGCACAGGTGGGGATCATTTGAAAGGCCAGATGCAGTGCAGGAAAAGGTAGAAATGAAGCTTAGGCGCTATGAAATGGCATTACAAACTTGGTCAGACTGGATGGAGTTCAACATTAACAGATCAACAACACAATTGTTCTTCATGAGCCTCTCCCCTTACCATAAATTGTACTACTGCTTTATTTCGGGACGAATGGAATATATATAGAACAAATTTTGTCACAACTAATATTATTTATTTCCAGGGCGGGAGATTGGGGCAATCAACCAGATCAAAACTGTTACAACGAAACAGAACCGATTTCAAGATTGGATTACTGGGGAAGTGGGAGTGACAAAGGACTAATGCAAACTGCAGAGAAGGTCATAAAACAGCTGGAGAGTAGAGGTTTGAAAGTGGGTTACTTAAATATTACACAACTCTCAGATTATAGAAAAGATGGACACCCCAGTATTCACAGGAAGCAATGGCAGCCTCCAACTGAAGAACAATTGTTGGATCCAAAGAGCTATTCAGAATGTGTGCATTGGTGCTTGCCTGGAGTGCCCGACGTTTGGAACCAAATTCTTTATGCATACCTTATGGATCACCATGTCCCATAGAGGAAATAAAAGTCCAACTTTAGTCTATAAGGTTTTAGTTTTAGTAAGTTACAATTATTAAAAACAATCATTGATATATGTCTTATTTGGGAAATAAAGTTAAATGCTCAAGTACTTAGCGTTTTGGAAAATGTTGTCACTTAGGGTTCAGGAAAATGTTTCAATAGTACAAATTTGAAACCAGTAACCTTCATGGATGAGTTTTAATATTTATTTTCTTTGCAATTTCTTGAGACTAACCGATAAAACTCATCCATAAAGCTTATTGGTTTTTATTTTAGGTTCCACCAGGAAGACTAATAATTGAGATAGGAATGATCATTTTAGTTTTGGGTTTAGAGCTTCAAACTCAGCGACAAGTTTGGGAAAGAGTACGAGAGGAGGGAGGAAGCTTAATTGAGGAGAGAGAGAAGTATGAATATACAATTTTATCCATGTTCTTAACAAAAACGTTAATAAAGGACCATTCGTGAAAAATGATATAATAATTGGAGACTAAATTAGTAATATTTGATATGTAGGGACTAAATATGTAAAATGACATATAACTAGGGACTTTTTATGGAATTTACTAGGAAAAGAATTACTATTGTTGTTATTGTTGTTGTTGTTGTTGTTATTAGGAATTATTATTATTATTATCATCATCATTATCATTATCGTTATTACTCCATGCTTTTTAAATTTCTTACTTTTTACTTGTTTCACTTGATATGATTATTTCAAAAAATAAATTTAATTTCTCTTGAAAAAATAAAAGGAGAAAGAAAATGAAACTTTTGTGCGATTATAATTTATGTAGAGAAAAATAAAATGATATGAAGCACAATTTTTTTCTTAAAAATGAATGGCGTTATCGGCGTTCGGGTATGGCGTTCGGTTTTCGGCATTGGTTATTGGCATTGATTTTAACCAAATGGTTTTTGGGTTTTTATCCTTGGTTTAAGCTTCTGGACACATTAAAAGGTTTTCTAAATGATTAGTTTTCAAAAACCATAACCTTTGTTTTTTCGGCGTTGGTTATCGGCATTCGGCGCTGGTTATCGGCGTTGGTTTTTGGCGTCCAAATCAATCAAGTGGTTTTTAAGATTTTATGATTGGTTTTTACTTCTGGGCATATCCAAATGGTTCTCCAACAAAAACATGTTAAAAACCACCTTTCGTTTTTGGTCTTTTGGTGAAAACCATGTGAAACGGCATAAACTTGGCTAGCCGTGGTTTTTACCTCAATGAAGTGGTTTTTAAGTTTTTATACTTGGTTTTCATTTTGAAGAACTTTAGTTTTTGACATCGATTTTCGGCGTTGGCTGTCAAACCATGGTTCTGGCGGCCCGGCCCAACATAGATGTAGGATCTTGAACATAGATGTCTGGACAGCGATGTTGGGATTTGAACATCTATGCCTGAACAGCGATGTTGAGATTTGAACATCTATGTTTTGGCCAGATTGGCTCATGTCAGTCTTGGGCACTAGGTTTTTGAACAGCGATGTTCATTGTTGAACAGCGATGTTTTCAAATGACCGTTGGGCTATTTAAGACAAAATCTTTCCATTTTTGAAAGTCAAACACCCCAACATCGATGTAGACTTCTAGACATCGATGTTTTGATGACCATTAGCCATTTTTAAAGGAAAGTCAAAGCCAAAATAGCGATGTTAACTATATGAGCAGCGCTGTCGGGCTAGATTTCAGTAGATCCACTTTCATTTGATTTCCACAAATCAAGCCAATCAACCCCAATCTTCTCCCAACCGTTGCACCTTGTTTTTGGGTATAAAAAGGGGTCTCTTGGGTCTACTTTTCACATCCATTCCTCACACATTTCATAGCTTTACATTGCATCATTCCATAAACTTTTTACATAGCTTTTTAGAGCCATTTCTTGAGGAATTGAGTGTGTTCTTGATCTAAATTAGTTTACTCATATTCTACTCTTTAAGAGAGTTTTTGTTCTTGAGTGGGTAAGTGTTGTGAACACTTTAAGGGAGGTTTGTTCCCTTGGTTGTACGAAGGAAGGGCATATTCCTTCAAGTTGAATTTTTGGAGTGCGGTATCTCCGAGAAAGTGTATTGAGACTCGTGGGACTCGAGTTCTCAGATTGTAACGGTTTGTTAAGCACCCGTAAGCTTAACGGAAGTAGTGTAGCTCGAGAGAGTCTCTCGGGAGGCTGGACTAGCCACACGTGGTGAACCAGGGTAAAATCGGTGTGTTCTTTCCTTACGCTTTTTTATTCCGCTCTTTACTTTATCTCTGCGATTTTTATTCCGCGAAAATTTATAAACATTCTCGTGCCTCACTATTCACCCCCTCTCTAGTGAAGGGCACTTATTCTAACAATTATGTTATAATTACTACGTTGTGCTTGTGGAAATTTCAGTTTCAAAACTAAGTTTTAAAAGAAATGTATTGATATTAAATTTATATTCTAACTTATTATATTTATTCTGTAATTTATGATTAAAATTTTAAAAATTGTTTATAAAAATTAAAATGAGAACTAAGATTAGAGAGAGTAATAAGAACGCATGCCTTTATATAACCATATGCTCCATGTGAATAAGGAAATTAAGGAGTTTATACTAGAGGTGACAATCGGTTCAACTAGATCGATTTCGAATATATGTTATATTCAATTCGGTTCAGTTCAGATCAGTTTAATTTTGGTTCAGATTTGATTCGATTTCATATATTTTTCAGTTTGGTTTGGTTTCAAGTCGGTTCATATTTCGTTCAAATATAAATCGGTTCAGATAGATTTCAATTTGAATACAACTTGAACCAGATATATTCCAGTTTCGGATCTAGTTCAGTTCGGATATATTTCGGTTTTAAAATATGTTTCCGTTCGGATATATTTCAATCAAATATATTTTGGATATATATTATTTCCTAATTAGTATTTAATTATCCCTTTTTCTTTTTATGTTTTATCACATTTATCAATCTATCATCAATTCAACACCTTATATTATTTAATATTTTTTCTAATTATATTATCTCTACCCTAATTAGTATTTAATTATCCCTATTTCTTTTACAAATTTGTACTATAAATTATGAAAATATATATATTTAATTATGACATAAATTTCATATAAATAAATTGATTATAAAATTTAGTTTTGATACATCAAATTTTTCTCACATCTACTGAAATATTTATGTTTATAAATGAAAAGATAAAAGATAAATTCACATAGTATTACGCTCCAATCGAATACAATTTGATAAAAATTGGGTGAAATTTAGTGAAATTCTATTCAATTGAGTGCAAAATTTATAAATTATTTGAGTGTATTTGGTTTAAATTAGATAAAATTAAATTTAATAGTCAAACATAATTAATTTTACACCTAAATATAATGGTGTAGATCAATTTTGAAAATGATAACACTAAAGCAGCGTTTCTTTCAACTTATTTTTCTGCTTATTACCTTATAACACAATTTCGAATTTATCAGGTTTAGTTCCAATCGGGTTCGGATATTATCAGTTTCGGATCTAATCGGTTTCAGATTTTATCTGTTTCGGATTTAAATCAGATATGAATTATTTAGTTTGATTCGCATCATTTCCGATTTTCGATTACTGATCAGATCTTCAGAATCATTTCAGTTTCAGTTTCGAAAAATTCGAATCGAGTATTTACTTTCACTTCTATTTTGCCACGTCTAGTTTATACTACTCTGTTGGGAAAAAACACTGGCGCGGTCTCGCCCATCATAGAAAATTTCAATAAATAAAGAAATTTACCCAATCAGCACTAAAGTGTCCTGATTAGCTGCCCAAAATGAAGGGGGCAAATTCGATGGGGTCTATGCATCTTCCAGCCAAGTTCAAATGATAAAGACAGTAGTAGTTAATTCGTTCATCTGCTCTCTGAATTTCGAGTATAATACGGAGTATTATGCAGTCAACATCCTCACTCATCCATTTGTATAATCAGATTCCCTCCGCAGAAAAAGGAAATGCAGAGGTGCCCGAAGAAGAGAGCCCAGTACCCATTGATCGCTCTTGTGTTCTTCGCCTTCATAGCTTTCTCTGTCCTCTTCAATGGAAGCCACATTCGAGAATTCCACCACGCTGACCCCGCTTCTGGATCTGATGAAAAGCCCTTTCTCATTACCGGGAATCTGAACTTCTCCGAGATTAGTGCAGGTCGCCTTCTTATATCCTCTTAAAGATCGTTGGAATCTGATTTGAAATCAAGAATGTTGGATCCTGCTAGGCTAGTGGCGTTTGAACTCTCTACCCTTTGTGTTAATCACTTCCATTTTTGCTCTCGGTTGCTAGAACTTAGAATATGCCCCCACCGAGTGGGGAGGGAACTGGGAAACACTAATTTTCCACCATTTATTTCTGCTTCATCTGAATTTTAAATTCAGTGGCTTTCATAAATTTCTTGGATTATGAGCTAGAGTGTTGGTTTTCTATGAACTTATTGGGGTCTTTTTTGTCAAATAAACATTTGTGTAGCTAGGGAATTGGACTAGTCTAGTAGATGCCACGATACTGTAGGGTATAGTGGTAGGAGGCCATTTTGGGCTAATGATCTTCGAGAGTCTGGCAGTCGAAGAGAAAAGCCAGAGAGATGTGACCTCTTCTCAGGCGAGTGGGTCTTCGATAACACTTCACATCCACTTTACAATGAGTCTGACTGCCCTTATATGTCTGATCAGTTGGCTTGCCAAAAGCATGGAAGGCCTGATAGGGGTTACCAGTACTGGAGATGGCAACCCCGCGACTGTAATTTGAAGAGGTATCCTTAACCCTCTTGGTGCAAGCATGTGTTCAATTGATATTTGGCTTTTTTTATTTGAATAAATGTTGCTTTTCGATTTGCAGATGGAATGCGATTGAAATGTGGGAGAAATTGAGGGGGAAAAGACTAATGTATGTGGGGGATTCATTGAACAGAAACCAGTGGATGTCAATGGTCTGTATGATGCAATCTGTTATTCCACCTAATAAACGGTACATGTCACCACAGGAGCATCTTTCAATCTTCAGAACAGAGGTAACCAAACTCGCATTTCATAAATGGGAAACGTGATTCTCAAGAATCTCCTAGTATGTTGAGGTGCCAGTTTTATAGTTGTTTGCTTTTGCTTGATGGCTCTTAATGGGCATGTTTGGACAGGAGTATAATGCTAGTATCGAATTTCTCTGGTCGCCACTTCTTGTGGAATCTAACTCTGATCATCCAGTGGATCATAGGTTAGCAGAACGAATAATCCGCCCTGATTCCCTCCTCCGCCATTCGTCACACTGGATGAATGCTGATATTATAGTCTTCAACTCTTACCTCTGGTGGAGACAAGGCCCTGTTAAGCTGCTGTAAGCTTTGCTAGGTTCACACTTTGAAAACTTATATATGAGCAAACCTGGTTCACACATTATTACTTATCAACAACTCTAATTTTTATGCAGATGGAGCAATGATGAAAATGGAATCTGCGAAGAAATAGATGGACTTGGTGGGATGGAGTTGGCGATGAGTGCCTGGGCGGATTTGATAGCATCTAACATTGACCCCTCTAAGAAAAAAGTCTTCTTTGTTACCATGTCTCCCACTCATTCCTCGTGAGTAAAGTTCTCCTCTTTTTCCTATCAAGTTTCTTACACTATGTTTGGTTCAAGGAATTTGAAAGGGAAAAGAAAAGAAAATGATGGAAAACAATTTTTCTTGTTTGGTTAGAGAGTAAGAAAATGAGAATGCAAATTTTACTACGAGGGAAAATACAATTCCTCCCATTTTGGTGAGGAAAATGAAAGAAACTTGTTTTCTTTTTTTTTCCCTTCTGAATTCCTTGAACGAAACATAGTGTTAGTGTCTTCAAATACTTGAGTTGGTTCTTATTAGGCCTCGATTGGTTGAGTCATTAAGAGCACATCTTCAATGCAAATTGCTTGGATAGACTTCTTAGCTATTTCTTGTTATTAAAATGCTAAGCAAGTGTTGCTTAGTGAAGCAACCCTCTAACAAATTGAAGCAATTGTGCTTCCATTTCATAAGCCACTTAGCCACCTAAGCATTTCATTTTTATAATATTTTTAAGCAACTCTTTAGCATCTAGCACTAAAGATGCTCTTACACATAACCTCCACGTTACGCCTGGGTTTGCACAGCATGGCTCCAACACACCAACTCATTAAGGCCGTGGTGTACTCTTCAAAAAGGCTGTTACATACAAATGCAAATAATGGACACCTAAACATGTATTTAAGAAAACAGTAGGGAGGGATACTTCTCGGTTTTGGCTTTATTGTTAGTATCGTTACTCATATTCTCTTCACCTCTTATGACCAGGAAGGAAGAATGGGAACCAGGAAGTGAAGGGAGCTGTTATGATGAGAAAGTCCCTATAAAAGACAGTGACTATTGGGGAAACGGCTCTGATGTGTCAACAATGCAGATGGTGAGAAAGGTACTGGACACTTTGGGTACAAAAGTTTCTGTCCTAAACATCACTAAGCTTTCAGAGTATAGGAAAGATGGCCATCCCTCCATTTACCGTAAGTTCTGGGAGACACTCAGTCCTGAAAAATTAGCAGACCCTTCAAGTTACTCGGATTGTGTACACTGGTGCCTACCTGGTGTTCCCGATGTTTGGAACGAACTATTGTTTCAGTTCTTATAAGCTAAGCCATGATTTGTAAGTAATTTTTTTTGCAGCTGGGTTCATTTTCAAAGTGAAGTTTGAAATTTTGAACGTATGCACATCTCAATGAATGTGGCTGCATATATGAATTTTATAGTGAATACCACTTTGTAAAACAGTCTTATTAACGTTCCAACGTGTTTGAATATGAAAGGGATTCAGATATATTGAAATTAGGGCCTTCATTCACATTCTTGAATCTAGCAGAAATGCTCTCTGTTCTAAAAATCCCTTTCAAGTCTTAGCTTAAGCATTAGGCTGCCCTTAGCTGTTTATGTTTTTCCCTGCCGATGAATTCACAAACCTAATTATTGGCCATATTGGGGTTTATTGGTTAAATATGCAGCATTATTAGAACAGAGGCACAAGCGGGTACGTTCCATTTTACCTCTGTCTTAGACCAGCCAAACAAGTTGTAAACATTTTTGGCAAAATGTTTTTTGACCATCAATTGATGTTAACTAAGTATACTTGACCACAAAATATAATTAATTTCATCAAATACGGACGGGTTTTCTTCACCCGATTTGATTGGTTTTAATCTAATTGTGATTATATACTTATATTTTGATGGAAACATGATCCATCAAGATAAATAATGGGCTGGACCCGAGATGGAAACCCAAACAAGGGCTCATGAGATTGGGAGATCCAGCCCACGTGAGATAAGGAAGGTTGGGCTTGGTCCATATAAAAATGAATTGGGCCAACGATGCTACGAAAGATTTAGATAGGTTGGGCTGAAGCTAGAGATAAGTACATCCTGTTAGTACTCATTCTGAAGTAACGTAGTACTCATTCTCGTACAAATATAAATATTCATTTCGAAATACGTAGTACTCATTCTAAAATAAGGTAGTACTCATTTTAAAATAAAGTACTCATTTTTACACATTTGTCTAATATAATTACAACAAATAGCGTAGTGTTCATTCTTAGAAAAACAATACTCATTCTCAAATAACATACACTACTACAAAAAAAGGTCTTTTGAATCGGTTATTTTTACCTTTTTTAAATCGGTTGTCAACCGATGCAAAAGCTGGCGATGCAAATGCTGAGGTAATTATTTGCATCGGTTGTTAAACTCATTCAAAAGCCCCTTCCCAAAATTGGTGCCACCTCTAGGAAGGAGCATTTGAATCGGTTGTTAGCTAACAACCGATTCAAATGCCCCTTCCCAGAATTGGCGCCACTTCTAGGAAAGAGCATTTGTATCGGTAGTTTGCTAACAACCGATTCAAATGCTCCTTCCCAGAGGTGGCGCCAATTCTGGGAAGGGCTTTTGAATTGGTTGTTTGCTAGCAACCGATGATGGCACCGAAGATGAAATAGAGAGTCCCTATATCCTTGTGGTTGGTGGAGAACAGCCATCGGACCGGATTTGTCATAAAATTTCGATTTTTTTATTTTCTCCGCCCATAAGACTTTCGTATGGGATTTCCCATTTATGGGAAAGAGCATTTGAATCGGTTGTTTGCTAAAAACCGATTCAAATGCTCCAATGGGAAGGGAGCATTTGAATCGGTTGTTAGCAAACAACCGTGATGGTGTAAATTATCGACCGGTATATTGTTTTTAGCTGGGCAAAAACAATAAACTAGTCTAAAAACTACACCAAAATATAAACACAGGAATTTTGACGTGGAAACCCAAATCGGGAGAAAACCACGGACCTTTTTTGCCGGTACCTTGCCAACGGGGGTTTTTTATTAATATCGAGGGTGTGTACACGATACATGAAATGGGCTTAGAAGCCATTAATGGTGGAGCTACAAGCTCTTGAAAAAGAAAATATATAAAATTCTAGAGATAGAAAGTGTTATTGGCAGGGGAGAGAGTGAGTTTGGCCTCCCTTAACATTGAGGGGGAGCCCTTCTTTTATAGGAGTAGCTGGAGCATCTACGGAGGAATATTCTATTACTCCTCCATTTTATTAAATAGGCTCGGTTTGACTGTTCTTCGTAAATAATTGGGAAATGTGCGCCGAGCCACGTATTATTTCCCATCAAGAAGTGCTCCACTTTTTTAAGTTGTGAGAATCATCAACTTAAAAAAGTAAATAAGTCCTCCGAGTGCTATCTTCAGTTTTCGTATTTTAGATTCTTGGCCGGTTGATAATATTGCTAGTCCTCCGAGTCTTCATTAATTCTCTAATTTCTTGAATCAGAAGTTTTTCCTGCAAAAAAAATAATATGTACAACATTTTTTTTGACTGGCCTATGCCGTGCTCAAAAAATTAATATTTTTACCGAGGAGCTTGGTGTTAGGTGATTAAAATTCGCGTGAATAATTATCGTAACGAGAGCGATGTTAGTTCGATGAAGCAACGGTGCTTCAAAAAGTTATTTCGTCGAGGTCGGTGTTAATACGAATCAAGCAAACAATGCGTGACGAAATTAGTATACCGATGACAACGATGTTAGTTAATAAGAATTTGAATACGATGTCGTAGCTCTGTTGAAGATAAGTGTTAGCTTGGCTGACTGATGTAAATATCTTCATGTCTCGTGGAGACCATCTTCGATAAAAGTGCCTCAGACATAGGGCTTAGAATGAATCGGGCGTCCCCGATATGAGCTGAGCTCACTTTTTTGCTGAAACCGATGTGCAACCGGTGTACCCAATTCGATTGGGCTCAGGCTCATTGAAAAATATGTGCAAGACTGGTGTGAGACCAGTGTACCAGTTCGACTGGGTCACATATTTTCTTTATTATACTGAGCAAGACCGGTGTAGTAACCAGCGTGTCAGGCCAGGCCTGTGTCTCAGTCTTCCTATAAGATAATGCTGTTGGCCGGGCCAGATCAACATTGGAGAATTAACCATGTCGGATGGTTTCGAGCCCTCTCCAAGGCCCAAAATGCACCCTTCTTTCAGGGGCCCCTCTTCTAGGTGATTAAGTCTTTTAATGGCCCTTTGATGTTTACTATTCCGGGAAGGCCTTAGCTCACCCTCCCGTTCAAGTCTTCCCTGAGAAGGGGGAATCCGATCCGGTCGGAGTAGGATGCATTGCGGTGAACGATCCTGTTCTATTTCTTTTAATGGGAATCTTTTAGTCCCCAATCAGCTTGACAGTTTCGACTGAATCCCCGATACCGGTTAAACCTCATGGGCCCGTGTAAGTACGGTTCGAACCCTCTTCCAGGTCTAGCCCTTTTGCAGGCATACCCCTCTTCCGGGGCCCTCTTCTGGGTTTTCTCTTTTTTTTTATTTATACTGAGCAAGACCGGTGTAGTAACCAGCGTACCAGGTCCGAGCCTGTGTCTCAGTCTTCCCTTCAAGATTATGGAAGATCAATAATTTGTTTATGGCAATGATATTTTGGAGGACCATCTCTTTTGCCTTCTAGCTGGTACAGCTCATATTACACACTTTCCTTTGTAAAAATTCACGTGACTTGGTCTTTGGCCCATTTTTCTTTGAAAGGTGGGTAGTGAATTCAAGGGATATCCATGGCCCACACATGTGAAATACGGATCAATTATGATCCCTCATTCACTTATTTCAAAAGTGAGAGCATTGTTTGATTTTTGAAATGACCCATAGGCCATCTTTCACGTGAACTCCTCCATCCCTTGTGATTAAAAGCAAAGTGGATTGCACTTTTTCCCATTTAAATAATGGTGGGCCCATATCATCGTGCATCATCTCAAGTTTCCCACCTCCTTTAACCTTTTGCCCTTGGACTCTTTTGAGAGTGAAATTCATCTTGCGGCTATTGTCTTCTCGGAGGAACTGGTACGTCGTTCATCGGCATCAACACCTTTGATGGACAACATTTGAGCAGCAGGGCCACGGCGAGAAGGAATCTGGGATGGGGTCTAGCGGAAACACAACCTCCGAAGGGCGATCATGTCGGCGGCCGTTCTTCAGGGAGGCAAAAGTCTAAGTCGGCTCCAAGCTCGTTGTGCGTCTTAGAAGATTACCCCCTTTCGTTTTGGATTTGGTGATAACAAATCACTCTTGGTGGCCATTTTAAAGCAGCGGCAGAGCATGGTCTTGCTCCGAGGGAAAGCAAAGTGGCGGCCGCAGATCTGACGTTCAAGAGACCAGATTTCGGTAGTGGCAGATTTTGGCTACAACGGACTTCGGCGGCACCACTGATGACCACCGGCCTATGGCGTGCAGGCGATGACGGCAGATCTAATGGCGACGGTGGTGACAGACTTCGTCGACGGAAGTGATTCGCTTGCTCTCGGTCAGAGTAATGGCTAACTTTGGCGCCAGCAAAAGCAAATTGCCCCCGGCAGTGTGGTTGTCTTCTTCCCAAAGCCCATCATCTTTTGGATAGCTACTTTATGGGTAGCAATTTGCAAGGCTTCAACCATTAGGAAAACTAGACGGAGCTTTCCACCGGCGACAGCGACAATGGAAAGTTCAGCGGTGGTGGCGTTGCGAATCTGAGAAAATACACCGGCAGTCCGTGGTGTCAATAGGGGCAGCAGATCTAGCTAGAGCAACGGACCAATTTAAGTCCTTCGTGGGGGGCGATTAGAGATGACGGTCCAAGAGTCAACGATTGTTGCGGTACGACTTTGTAATGGCTTCGCCGTTATAGAACGACCAGCAGCTACGGCTTTGTAACGGCTTCGCCGTGGTGAGAAGAGACTTCCAGCAGCTACGGCTACAAAAAATTTAAGCAGCAGCGCGTGGATCTCCAGTGTTAGACCTGGACGGCGGCTTGTGGTCATCTATTTGACGAACGGCGGCCACAAGGAAATGAATCACTCCATCCTTCGATATTTGAACAGATGGATGACAGCTCTCTCAATCTTTCTCTTTTTCTATTCTACCCTGTATTTTCTCTTCTTTTTTTGCATTAGTGGAGTAACCCCTTCATATGTTACTCTCCCCCTTCCTTTTTTTGCTTCGATTGGCATAATTGTGAGGTTGAGGAAGATGGTAGAACACAGCTTTTTGCTAGGGTCCCACGGTCGGCGCCAAAATGATGGTGTAAATTATCGACCGGTATATCATTTTTAGCTGGGCAAAAACGATAAACTAGTTTAAAAAATACATCAAAATATAAACACAGGAATTTTGACGTGGAAACCCAAATCGGGAGAAAACCACGGGCCTTTTTTGCCGGTACCTTGCCAACGGGGGTTTTTATTAATATCGGGGGTGTGTACATGATACATGAAATGGGCTCAAAAGCCATTAATGGTGGAGCTACAAGCTCTTGAAGAAGAAAATATATAAAATTCTAGAGATAGAAAGTGTTATTGGCAGGGGAGAGAGTAGTTTGGCCTCCCTTAACATTGAGGGGGAGCCCTCCTTTTATAAGAGTAACTAGAGCATCTACGGAGGAATATTCTATTATTCCTCCATTTTATTAAACAGGCCCGGTTTGACTGTTCTTCGTAAATAATTGGGAAATGTGGCCCGAGCCACGTATTATTTCCCATCAAACCGATTCAAATGCTCCTTCCTAGTTCTGGAGAAAGGTCTTTTTGCATCGGTTGTTAGCTAATAACCGATGCAAATAATAATTTTTTTGACATAGCTGTTTGTTTGCTTACAATCCACCACAATTGCAATTTTGCATAGAACTCTGTGCAAAATTTACATAACCAACAACAACAACACAACACAACAACAACTACAAACACAACCCAACAACACAAATATATTCACAAAACCAAATTAAACAAAACAAATTAAACAAAAAAAAGTAAACATTTGCATCCATCACTTGTTCATCTAAAAAAAATATCAACATTTACAAGCTAAGCTATAACACCACAACTAAGAGTCATAGAACAAATAAACTACACTCTTCTAAAAGTCAAACAACTAATACTATACAATGCAACACAAAACTTACACTAGTTCATCAAGAAAACCCCCTGCCCAAAACTCTCTAACCTCGTCTAATTCGGCTACGGTATAGGGCGAAGTAGACTGAAACACCTGGAATATGAAAACGACATACAACATAAAGTTTAATAATCTATGAAAAAGAAAATGATGATGAACACTTTATTAGTTTCAAAAACACACTAAAATAAACTAATATCGTATAACGGTAAAGAATACTGAGCACACAAAGTGACGATGAGCCATAAAAATCGCATAGTATAATATAAAAAATTGGTATACATATTGGAAATGGTTTAGAAAACATACGGTTTTGATACATATAACGGCATAAGTATCCAGCATCGCGATTGATATGACTCAAGTGCTCTATCCAGATACTGGCGATCTCCATAATCTACCATGTACGCCATGTTCTCCGGACATAACAACCCGACAGTCGTGATGTCATGTCGTGCAACAATCTAGTTATTTAATAGGTAAATAATAATTACAATTATGACAAATAATTATAACATACATCGCATAAACTCTTGTATAATTAGAACATGATTGCATTTTATTCGTACATAGTGCTTGGCATACCTCAAGAAGACAGTGATGATGGTCTAATCGACCTCCTCCCATCGCATGAACTCACGTATATTCTCCGGACGTATCCTCAGCTCTGTCTCCTCCGGATAGAGCATGCACTCGGGATTGAGAATGACACTAATGGTAGGCAAAGGATATGTGTGTGTCAGCCACTGACATAACTCTCTGCACCTCGGCCCAAAAGAAGCATACAAGCTTCAGTCAACAACATATTTTACGGTTGATACAAAACAATGCACACCAAAATTATTAACACTCATTTTATATATACACACAAACATATAAAAAATACAGGCAACACAATATCTTATTTCATATGATGTAACAAAAATCCGGTAGCAATTCTTCATTATACAAATGGTCCTTCTTTACACCATCCTAACTCATTCTTGAAATGTCCCCTCATTAGTAAATGTATTTCATTTTGTTTGATCTATCAAAATTTCGGAAGCATTTCCCAATGGTTCTCCATGTGCACGATGTAACATATTTAGGAAACGTCAAACCAAAAAATGACAGAACAAAGAGAAAGAAATACATTCACTACCTAAGTGAGGGAAGCATTTAAAGAACAGCTCCAAACTGGGAGCTATTTAAAATTTACTCCTAATAAGTAAATTTTAAACGGGTATCTAGGTCGGTCAATATATGTTATTTTAACTTAAACATAAACACAAAAGAAATTCAAATATATAGTAATTAAAGTAAATACATTGAAATAGATTTAAAACTATATTATCTACTTGGAAAAATAATTCACCTATTTCAAAAATATATATATAAATAATAGAATAATTAAAGATTTAAAGTGAAAAATAAAAAACACCTTAAAATAGGCGAGCAAGGCACGACGGGGGTAGAGACCGGTGACAATGACGACGAGTTATTGGGAAAGGCAGGGCACGACGAAGGCACAACGAGGCAGCGACTGGGGAAGGCACGACAAGGCACGGCGAGTTAAAGGAGGTGAGGGACAACGACGCGAGGCACGGCGAGGCACATCAAGCACGGTGACGGCGAGGTAAAAGACGACGAGGCTATGAGCACGGTGTTGGCGAAAGAACGGAGATGGCGACATTTAGCAACGACAACGACGAGGCTAGGAGCACAGCAAGCACGACGAAAAATCGTTTGGAGGTTTTTTTTCCAATTCGCGTAAGGATAAGGTATTGGAGGTTGTCCTTAACAGCCTCTTTTGAATCGGTTATTCCTAATAACAGATTCAAAAGGTTTATAGGCTTTTGAATCGGTTATTCCTAATAACCGATTCAAAAGGTTATTTGAATCGGTTATTAGGAATAATTGATGCAAAACCTTTATAAACCTTTTGAATCGGTTATTCCTAATAATTGATTCAAATAACCTTTTGAATCGATTATTAAGAATAACTGATTCTAATGCTAAGCGTTTGGCGATTTTTTTGGCTTTTAAATTGATTATTTTATTGACTGATGCAAATAAGGTGATTTATTTCGTCGTTTATGTAGTAGTGTTAGTGTTCATTCTGAAGCAAAATAAAATTCATACCATAATTAATAGCTTTCTTTCTCTCCTACCATACCCGACCACACAGCGCTAGGGTTTTTCATCCATCCTCCATAGCACCTTTCTTCCTCGATCGGACAGAGTAACTCTTCTTCCTCGCTAGAGTTTTTCATCCATCCTCCAGCACCTCCTCTTTGTTATCGGTGTGCCTCTCTTTCGTCGATCAGTGGATCTTCTTCGAACGGACTGATCTACAGAGTATCTCTTTTGATTTTCATTGCCCTCCCTTCAACGGTGCCTAGTCCAAAATTTTCGGTTCTCCTCGCGTCTTTTGCCGGTTGTATAATATAATTTGCAGTGTTTGTGATTCACATACATTAAGTGTCTGTGTTTGTTTGTGTTTGCTTAGTGACGTTAGTGTAACCTTAGTAATTAGGTTTATTCTTAAGATAAAGCTATTTGTACCCAAGAATTTGTACTCCATTTTGTACACCGCAGGGATGCACCAATATTTTTTGTTGGTGTAATGCTAATTTTTGTTAACGCACCAGCACTTTGTGTCAGTGTAAATTTTTGTTAACGCACCAACACGTTGTGTCAGTGTAAACTATTAAAATAATAGTGCATACCTTTGATATATAAATGAGACACAGAGTATGAATTTTGGGTACACGTAGCTAGGGGTGTAAACGAACTGCATCGAAGCGAATACCGATATATTTGAATTTGTATTTGTTTAATTTTTTCGAATACGAATCCGAATCCGAATATGAGACGAATTCAAAATAAGATTTGATTAAGTATTTGATTAATATTCGAATAGTTATCGAATCATAAACGAATATTTGAATAATCATACTATGTAATTTATATGATGGACCAACATCAATTTGTAATTTAACTTACGATACTCTTTATGCTATACTATATTCCGTATATAAAAACATTAATACATCTGCATCTTACACAAATTATATTTTATAAAATATAACTATTAAAAATCATATGCTTAAGATTTTCGTGTTACGTTAATTTATTCAATTCTTAGTATTTTAAATACACTTTATACTATATTACTTTGCTTGACTTTTGATGTTGAAAACATGGTCTGTGTATATATACATATATTCGAATATCATCCGAATCGAATATATCCATATTTGTATTTGTATTTGATTAATATTCGAATCAAAAATAATATTTGAATTTGAATTTGTATTTAAATAACGCGAATTCAAAGAATCATATTCAAATACAAATCGCGAATCGAATTTAAAATATTTGATTTGTTTACGTCCCTACACGTACCTTACTCTTATTAATAATGAGGAGTATGATTGATTTCCAGCGACCAGGCCAGATACCAATAATACCATGGCTACTACCACACGTCACCAATAATACCATGGCTTGACGCGGTCACTTCTTAGCTCAAACTACTGCTTCTCTTCCTCTGCTTTCGCTCACCCCAACCTTCGGAACCCTAAGCTTTCACTTTGCATTAGAACTGCTGCCAAACCCTCTCCCAAAAACATCACTGGCGCTCAGCGGGACAAAGCAGCTCAAGATTCTTCTCCGATTTTGGATACCCGGATCAGCGAACCCGACCCGCATCCTCCGCCCGGGCCTCCTCTTTGGAACTCGAGCTCTCCCATGTTGTACTCTTTTCTCGCTAACATCCTTCATCAGATATAGGCTTCTGGGTTTTATTTTAGGGTGTTACTCACTCGCATTTTCTTGTTTATTGTTCTATCTGCAAAAAAAAATTGCAGAAAGGGATTTAAAGTTGATGGACTGGTTTGGGAGATTTTATCTATTGCGTTTCCTGCTGCATTGGCTCTGGCTGCCGACCCCATTGCTTCTCTAGTTGATACCGCATTCATTGGCCATTTAGGTACTTCTGTTCGTTAAAGATTTTGATTTGTGATAATTTTGACCCGCTGATACAAATGTGTTTATTGAGAGCAATGTAAGTAAAAATCTTTTTGTTAAAGATGCTAAGTTACCTTTGGGTTGTTTTACTCCTCTATGGATGTAAATGTGTTTGAAAATTTTTATTGATGACATTGTAAGACAAAATCTCTCAATGGTTTAGCATTTAGCTTGCATAAGTATAAGCAATGGGCATATTTTCCATCAAATTGATGCACTGCAGTTCTGTAGGATCGGTTGAATTGGCAGCAGCGGGGGTTGCAGCATCATTGTTCAACTTTGTGTCAAAGTTGTTCAATGTTTCTCTCCTCAATGTTACAACGTCATTTGTAGCTGAAGAGCAGGCACAACTCAGCAGTGATTCTAATGTGCATGGTAATACATACAATGGTGGTTCCTTTCTCTGTATTACACTATTTTTTTTGTCTGTATTATTTAGTTTTATTAATGTCTATTTCATGTTTTTTGAGATGCAATATTTTACATTTGGAATGACATTGGAAGCAACTCATGTGGCTTGGCTTATGGTTGTTTGGGTAGATGGTGGGGCTGCTCAACACAGTAAGATTATTCTGCCATCAGTATCAACTTCATTAGCACTTGCCACTGGCCTTGGTATTGCAGAAGCGATTGCAGTTTGTCTTGGCTCCAGTTTTCTGATGGATACAATGGGTATAATTGCTGTATGTGGAGTATTTTTTCTAACGTACTTGTTTTTTGTCCTCAACCTCTATTTCCAAGCCTCGAGAATGCTAATACACTATCTTGGGTTCCTGATTAACAGAACCTCTATTTCCAAGCCTTGAGAATGCTAATACACTATCTTGGATTCCTGATTAACAGATCATTTCACGTTTATGCACACACGTGCTGGCTTTTTTTAGACAATAACATCAAATCGATTATAATCTTATCTCTATTGTGGACTAGGGGTCAAGATGTGAGCACCCATGAAAAAAACAGAGACTGTTTGCCTTAGACCCTCAATGATTGCTGCATTTACTATCAAACGCTTCATACGAAGTAAGAATCAAAGTAAACATTGTATGAGAAAATATGTAAAATAAGCACAAGTCTTTTCGTGTTTGGGGAAATAATGTGTGAAATGCTGAGTGCTGACATGCAGTTTCTCCCCCTTTTGGCGGGGATGGGTGTTAAACTATAGGGATATTCATCGTATGCCATACTTAGTTACGGAGTATTTAAGAAGTTTTTGGAGTTTGCGCTGTTGGAATTAATGAGCTACAATGTAATAGGATTCACCAATGCGCACACCCGCTGAGCAGTTTCTTACAATGAGGGCATTTGGTGCTCCAGCAATTGTAATAGCACTTGCCACTCAGGGAACTTTTCGTGGGTTCAAGGATACAAAGACACCTCTATATGCAGTTGGCAAGTATTACAAATTCCTAAATTTTTTCTATAAAGAGTATTAAGTCATTAAGTAAAACCATCTTAGCATGAAAACCTCAAGTAGTCAAGTAACCAAAGAAGCTATAGCATTTATACTATATCCGTTGGTCACAAAAAATTCTCTTGGTGTCACAGGTGCTGGTAACTTGCTAAATGCTATAATGAGTCCTCTGTTGATATTTTCCTTTGGTTTTGGCATCAGTGGTGCTGCAATTTCTACTGTGATTTCTGAGTACGTCTATAATGCTTTGAAAATAATTATGTAACTAATTTGGATATAATATTTACATATTTCTGAGACCTTACCTTGTCTATCTTACCCATTTTTATGGACCGCCATATTCTTTTTATCAGGTACTTGATTGCTTTCATCCTGCTTTTCAAGTTAAATGACAGGGTCATTCTTATAGCTCCAGAAGTTAATGGTGGAAGAGTTATTCGATATCTTAAATCCGGTAACTTTTAAGAATTATGTTATCTTATATGGATAATCTGGATTGAAACATTCATCACATTTAAATTGGGTCATTCTAGATTATAATATAATTATTTACAAATGTGATATTCACCCTGTTCAACTCGTGGTTATGGCTCGGCGGCTAGGGTCTGTTACCTTGGAGGGAAGGATTTTGGAGGTTCCATATTCAACTCAATCAGATCACGGGGAAGTCAGATCTGATTTGGGATATATTAGGCAAACCTACCCAACCAATAAAGACCTCCCCCAAGATCATAATATAGGATCCAGTTTTGGAGAACAACTTGAGCATATTCTTTCGTCTCTTTAATTTTGTGCGAGTGATATTCGTTAGGAGTGATCCATAATTTCAGTGGGTTGAAATCCTTCATGTAATATCGTTAATAGAAATTGCATGGATTCACATGAATTTATAGAGACTGATGGTCTATGATACGTCTCTTGAATAACTGAATTTCTATGTTTCAGGTGCTCTACTTACTGGAAGAACATTAGCAGTGTTTGTAACCACTACACTAGCAACATCCCTGGCTGCCAGAGATGGTCCAATATCTATGGCTGGCCATCAAATTTGTTTCCAAGTCTGGTTAGCATTGTCCATGCTTACGGATGCTTTAGCTCTGGCAGGACAAGTAAATTTTTCTGGCCTTCTACTAATATGTAACAGTACTGTTCACAGTTGCTGGATTTAGCTGAATAATTAAAGTGTATAGCCATCTGTCAGTACATTATGAATCTCTACATTTTAAATTACAGTCATGTTTTCTTTTTCATTATCATTGTTATTTAACTCTCACTTTTTTTAAGGCTCTCCTTGCCAGTGATTACTCTCAAGGTAACTATAGCCGGGCACGTGAAGTGGTTTACAAAGTCTTGCAGGTTTGCAGTTTCGTGGTGTAATACTGCTTATTTCTAGCTTTACAAGTAATTATTATTTGCGTGTGCCATTTTTAAAATTTTATTTTTACTAGATTGGTATTGCAACCGGAGCTACCTTAGGCGTGTGCTTGCTCCTGTGGTTTGGAGCATTAACTAGCTTATTCACCTCAGACTCCAAGGTCCTAGAAATTGCTAGATATGGTACTTTGGTAAGGATGAACTTCTGGTGCATGCTAACTTAAAAACATAAGAAAATGAAATTATTTCTCTGTAGAACCCGAATTATTACACATTTCATCTTCACAATGAGCTCAGTTGTACAAACTCTCATTCCTCTGCTGTTCATTTCACATACTTGGTAGTGCTGAATAGCTGATATTTCACAAAACATTAAGGTCTTATTGATACTATGTATTTCCAAAGATTTATGTCTAATAAAGGATCCATCTGCAAGTAACCACATGATGTTACCGTAACTCATTCTTTATTCATTTTCCCAATTTGCTTTAGTTTGTTGCCGTATCTCAACCAGTGAATGCAATTGCTTTTGTTCTTGATGGCCTATATTACGGGGTCTCAGACTTCGAATTTGCTGCCTACTCAATGGTATAGTATTATTGCCTTTTGTTCTCACCACACATTTGTTGCTGTTTTCCTAATCTAACATTATCTTTTACTCGTGATGAGCAGTTACTCATTGGATTGATCTCCTCCATTTTCTTATTGGTGGCTACTCCCATGTTTGGTCTTGCTGGAGTTTGGGCAGGACTTTTTCTCCTCATGGCTTTGCGTGTGCTAGCTGGATGTCTAAGGTGCACCGATCTCTCTCTCTCTCTCTCTCTCTCTCTCTCACTCATATTTGCTTTTCGTTATCCAAAAGAGATGCATGACACACCAACACATTTCCTTAATCATTTGTTTCCAATATATGCCTCCTTTTTGCCTTTTCCTTAGTTCAGTTATTAAAATCTGCTGTTCAGGTAACCTAAATATTGTTGTTTTCCCTGTTGTTGTAACTGCATATCATGTAAAAATTTACTCTCCACTCTAGTCTTCTGTTATTAAATTAGTACTGGTAATTCTTATCAGTCTGTTTGCTAAGTAAACTGCTGATAACAGACTGGGCACAAGAACGGGACCCTGGCAATTTCTCTCAAGCAGGAGAGTGCTGGATAGTGATGCAGCAGATGATTCGTTGGTGGACAAAAAATCAGAACATGATTAGGCTAATTATGTCATATTACTTGGCTTTCAATCCTGGATTCCTCGTTGGAAATTGAAAGCTATATCTGACATGTCCACGGCTTGAGAAGAATGCAAGTATCCACATTCTTTCATCAGCCAATCTCGGGAGATTAACCTGCAGGCTTCAAAAAGCATCCTAGACCAACAACAGATAGAAGCTAAGTTTAACCTGGTAATTTAGTGGAAATGAAATTTGCACTCCAATTTTCATATTGGCACTCCAAATTGCACTATTCACTCTCTCACTAGTTGCTTTTTATGTAAAGGCCATGTTAGCACTGCATAGATAGTTGAAAAGAGTAAAGCAGTTAAGCTCAGGAAGCTTCCAACATGTGCATTCAGTAGCTGTCTGTTAACATTCAATTTTGTGAAGATGGAGGGTGGAGAAAAAGACAAAGGTAGCCCTGGATGCTTAAAGAAGAGTGACACGATGGTTTGTTAGATCGAGAGGTTTCAATATTTGATATGTGTCGATTAGGGGAGACTTCAAAACGCAGGCTAACGGGAAGGTTTTCGTAGTATCTAGATTTGAAAGTAGAACCAGTTTTTCGTTCTCCAAACACTAATTCTAAGAACCTGATATTGGAGATGTTAAAACTCATGTCCATATGTCTTACCGAACACACTCTAAGTAGTGATTTATTATCAAATGAACAAATTGAGACACCCCCTTGTTTGATGACCCTTAACCGGAAAAAGTAGAAGCCTTCCACGTCTTGCAATGAGCACGCACCCCGGTGGTGACTGCTTTGTTATTTTAAGCATGCCATAACAACAATGTCTTCGCCAATGGTTTGTACTTTGTGATGACACAACATCCACGCGACATGTCGTAGCAAATTTATGGATGAAGTGAGTAATTATTTTGGTACTAATACATAGAGTACAATATACTATCTATTTAATTGACATCAAAGTATTCTTTAGTTGATAATCAAAGTTAAGTCAAACTAGACAAATATTCTATGATGAAGATAGTATTATATTTCAAACTCAAAATGTGCTACAAAATCCAAATCAATTACTCCCTCCGTCCCTAAATAGATTACAATTTTTTTCTCTCCTCTCGATAACTTTTGTTTGTTTACACGATTTCATTAAGTATTTGATAAAATAAAATGTTCTTGTCACCTCTTGTTTTGTAGAACTTTTGACGTAGTTTTTTAATATGTAATTTTTATACCAATTTGTGAACAAAATGATTTCAAAAAGTAGGAAATTTTACTTCGTAACTCACAATTTGTAATCTATTTAGAGACGGAGGGAGTAGTAATTAAAAGGATATAGCTAAATCTACACTTTTTTTTTATTAAATCTACTCCTTTTATGTTAAATGAACAAACCTACCCTTAAAAATTGGCTTGAATCTAAGATCTCTTTTTTATACTTATGGGTAAAATGGGTAATTTACCAGTAATAGAGTGGACGATTAAAAAAATAAACTAAAATAATTTCACTAAAAAATCATAAATCATACTCCGTAGGTCATAAGAGGCAATTTAAATGGGGATGGAGAAAATATTAAGTATCCTTGATTAATGTTCAAGGTATGTGTTTCCAATCCTCGATAGAATGTCATTTGCCCATGTTCATTCATATGAATATTACATGAAACATGCCATCATTTTCCTTAAATCATAACTTCTTCCGTCTCGAGGATCCTTATAAAACATGCTCCCCTCTGTTTCCGTAAGGTGGCTACTGCCACACGGTTATGTAAGAGGTAAAAACCAAAAGCAAAAAAAGACAAGGAACAAGTAGGTATCCTCTGAGTGAAGGGATTACAAAATGGGATCAATAGGATATATATCATTTATCAAAACCTTCAAAATGGGGTTTGGAGAAGAAACTACATATGCTGCTTCACCCACCAGTAAATATGAACAAAACGGAAAAATCTACATACAGCAGAAAGCGTTATGATGAAACAATGCCAGGTAAGTGTGTACATTCATGGCGCAACGAAAACACCCTGCAACCAAATGCTTCGTGTGCCAATTCGTTCTCCAAGCGATCTACAAGATAAGATAAAACAGGAAAAATCAACATTAACTGTATACTTGCAAACCACATGATTCAATCCACAGATAGTATTCTTCCATATTCCCATGTAGACACTATAGCCTATGTGGCCAGAAATAATAAAGAAAAAGCACCACTAAAATATAGAAGAGCATGTAGTGAACAATAGAAGAGTGACGGGTCAAATATGCCATCAAACTTTTTGAAAAATGAGCAATTGACCTCTCGATTTGGGATAAAATTGGAGAGATGTGAGATGAATAAGGGTAGAAACAATCCTTATTCCCACGCATGTAAATTGTTTTCTTTTTGTATTCCCACAGAGTTACACATATACAATGACATACAATGGCCCTATTTGTACTTTTTTACACACATACAGTCACGTGGAAACAAGCTCTCTATTTTCCATGCAGGGGTAAGGTTTGTGTACACTCCTCCCTCCCCACACACCATGGAATTTATTGGGTTTGTTGTAGTTACACACTTACACGTGAACAATCACAGATAATGACCCTATTTATACATATTTTTACACATATAACCTGGCTTGGAAATAACCTCTCTACTTTTTAAATAGGGTAAGGTCTGCCGGCCTATGTACACTCGCCCTCTCTAGAACTTTACTGGGTTTGTTTTTGTTGTTCTCACACATATATAGAGACATACAAAGGCAATATTAATTATTATTCAGACACATATACAATGAGCCAATAGTCACTAGGTTTAGCATCTCCCTAACCTTTCTGATGAGTTATAGTAGTAATGTACTTAAGATGTAAATCAGATCTATGTCACAGTAAGTTAGTTTCCCAACGAGGTTTATTAGTGAAAAGATTGCCACATACACTAATTGTGAATTTCAATGACTTCTTCACATCTCAATAATCTGAAAGGAACTGCAACATATTCTTTTGCTTTAATCTTTCTATTTCGGGGAAACCAATGATAGGTCATGACAACTTTGGAAGAGGGAGATGTTGTGGTCAATGTTCTAGAACAAACGGTAGAAATGTGTCTAGTAAAAATGTATCATGTTGTGACTTTTGTAATAAACAAGGGCGTAAACTCTTCAGCCAAGGTTCTGTAGGAAGCTGGAAGCAAGTATTCAATGTTCACCTTGTCACACGGTCCTGCCACCAGTAGCCAACTAGCCATCGCACACATCTACATTCGTCGGTCGAGTTTGTTATCATGTATTTGTGCATGAGACTTAGAGAAGCTAAAATGAGGTTCTGACATCTTGCTTTAGCTTCAAAATGCATATTGGCAAATACAGGCGAAGCCTCGTGTACCAAATACATTATATGTAAAAATCCATATAATTTGTTTTGTACATGAAAACTGAAAAATATAAAAATAAAAATTTTAAATAAATTTGACTTAGTAACTTATAATACCAGTAATTATAGGATTAAGTTCTAAAGTCATTTTCAAAAAAACCAAGCATTTAAGGAACACTTCAGCACATAAGTAAAGAAGAACAAGGCATCAAGTAGTAAAGAGAGTTGGTGGTATTTTAGATTCATTCAATCAAGTATTAATTAAAAAGAGGTATAGAACAATCATATATAAGATAGAGAACAAAAAGCATACGTGCTGGGTAAAACACAAACCTGTGAAGTAACAAGGTTTCACTTGGGTTAAGCACTTAAGTTTCTTTTAAATCTAACTAAAAACAACCTAAATCTTATTATTCTTATCATGACAACCAATCCCATTGAGCTAAACTACATTTCAAAAATACTTCAAATAATGCATAGTATCATATAAATAGTTCAATTAATGTACTATGACATCCAACACCATGTTTTCGTGTCACTCATATCCTAAGGAGGGAGTGGGGTATGGTAGATTTTGAAGGTCAAAAGAGAAATTTCCCTGACCCAAAACAGAAAAAAGTTAGTACAACAAAGGCTTGGATTAATATATAAGGGTCACCGAAAATAGGTGAGCCAAAATGGAAAAAGAATGTGTTCAATAGTCCTTGAAGGACACATGTTACCATTCTCTGCAATACAAAGATAAAAGAATTGGTTGAACTTGATATTTAAAGATACTTTAACAGCCTCTAAAAAAGAAGGATTGGATGCCACTAAAAAAAGAAGACAATATATAATAAGAATTAATGAATAGGAAAAAGTAAACATAATGCACACACAGAACTAATAAAGAAAAGAAATTAAAATGTTCATATTGATATTGATCAGAAAAATAATCCTGCTGGAATTGTGGAAGTATCCAAAAAAGTACTTCAGATAAATTATCAATGACATAGAGAGGAGGCTAGAATTCTAGAAACCATGTGTAATGTGCATGCAATAGAAGCATGATCTTACTAGAGAACGTCTTCCTTCTAACAGATAAGCTACAAGTGTGAAACTCTGGATAAGCAACTATGTTCTTTTGCAAAAACCTTATTTTACACCTAAAAGAAGTCACATATACCCCGGTCCTCAATTTAAGTTCATGTTTGCTTTCTAGCGGAGTTTAAGAAAAGACAATTATGTGGTTGATTAGTTGATATTTATGATATCTAAGCAGATGAGAGAAACAACAAAATTTCATGACACATGGAGTAAGTGTGAATTATTAGTTGCGACATATGATCTTATTTTTCTAAAAAAAATCCCACTTCAGCAATTTGCCACTTTGCCTCCCTCAAAAAAATAATTGCCACTTGGGCACTTTCTAAACATAGATGTGTTCAGACTAAACCCAGCACCTTCCAAAAATTAATTTAAAATATATACCATTAGCAACATGTTATGCTCTCATCTTGTGCAGATGAAGTAAAATATTCCTGATCACTGATATTATCTATGCAGAGATTTTTTTTGTAAAACACATTGGACTGAAATTGTCAGGATAGGGCAGTCCCCAAATCAGAAATAATATCATATGTATATTTGCCGCACAATATATAAAATTCAGAAAATGCACTCAGAGAACACCACTACTTAAGAGGTAGAAGGAAGATCATTCCACCTTGAAATGTCCAAGATTTGGACAGCAATGTAACAGCATAAATTCATTCCAGGCCAGCAACTTTGCACCTTAGTTTCAAATTATGCTGTTCCTGCCAAAAGCAAAACATCTGCTGTCAGTCATTTATGAATAAAGCTATAGCAGTTGCAATCAATATGGAGAAACAACCGAAAAGAGTGCACATGAAATGCTTGGATGCATCCCGAAATGTGTTCTTCCTTTACGCTATGTTCTTACCTGCTCAAGAACTATGGCAGAGCTCTTTTCCACCGATCTGGCCAAGCTCTCAAGCTTCACAAGCATTTTCTCATACAACTCTTCTACTTCAGCAGTGTAGTTGGCTGCATTGGAACCTAATAGGTTGCTGAATCGGGCAGCTTCAAACCCCGCAGCACACATATCCAATTCCTTTTGATCTTGAACTCCCTGTTGAATCCCAGCCGGGTTCTCCGTATTCTCATCCTCGACCATGGCATTCGAGCGCCTCAAGTCACAGGTCAAATAAGGGAATTGAGAGTTCGGGGAGAAAGACTCATAATAGGATCGAAAAAATGGACCAATGTTGATGATATCGAGGCTTTTGGGCTCGAAAGAAGTGGTGGAAATCCGGTACTGAAAAGCCTTATACTCATGCGTGTGAATGATCTGGTCCTGGAAAGGCGTCGTTAGGAGAATGAAGAGAGACGGTGGAAGAGAGACGGAATGAGGGGAATATTCTGGATTGAATGATAGAGAAGTGAGCGAATTGAGAGAAAATGTGGTGGCGGAGTCACGAAGGGAGGGGCGGAGAGGGGTCCTCCGGCGGCCGGAAAACCAGCCGATGAGGGTTGATGATGAGTCTTGACTGTGGTCCTGATAGGGGAGGGAAAGGTGAGAAGGTAGAGATGTGAAGGATGTGACGACTGCAGTGAGGATGGGGCCGTTAGAGCCGTCAGCGGCGAGGGAGGAGGTGGAAGCGGAGGTGTCATCGGTGAGGGAGTTGGTGGTGGAGAAGGAAACGTGACCGTAAAGAAGGCCGTGGAGATCGCCGGGAGCGGCGGAGAAGCGGTGGAGGAGGGAGGCGAGGGTTGGGCCGGAGATTTGGATCTTTTGAATTCCTAAATCATCCATGGCCTTACTGAAATCGTAGTGGTATCCCAGGAGGGTTATTGGGTCTTAACTGAGGAAATGCTAACCAACCTGCCAGGCTGCCACAATGGTAGTAATCTTTTTGTATCAAATCTTTAAAATTATGAAATTCTTAAGAAATGGAAGAAAATTACTCACAGATTATGAGAATACTAGTATATTTACCCGTGCAACGCATGGGGTCAAACAAAATTTTTATTGGTTCTAAAACTTTTTTAATGCAATATTTTTTCCCATAATAAAGAAAATATATTTCCCTATGATTTTTAATATTATATACAAAAATTCCAAAGTAGAATAAACAATATTTGAGGAACTGAATGTGTATTCAACCAAGTTTTTTTAATACCAAACTTTTTGAAAGACTGTAGGGTATATATTTTTTTTATATAGTTGCAAGGGTATCATTCTCATCTAGAACTAATATTTTTAATTTTTTTTTGTCTTCACTCATGGAACCATAACATAAAGCTGACCATGAGTACGGTGAATACCAACTTGGTTAAAAGTAATGAAAGAAATGACAATGATTGGCTTTGACTTTTGTTGATAGTCATTGCAAAATATAAGACTATTGATATTTGCCTTATAAAGAACTTCAAGAGTGGTCCTAGATCAGATGGTATCAATTTCATTAGGAGTATGTAAACTTTTTGCTGACTCGATTTCTCAAAACCACAATCGACCAACAACATTCTTTCACAGCTCTTCAAGGATTAATCGTGTACCATTACATAATCCATATATTTGGTCAATGTTTTTCAATATCAAAATCCTTAAGCCATTTTTAAGGTTATTTTGTAGTTTTGGATCCCCGAATATTTGATTTCATTTAAAATTTAATTGTTATTTAATTGTCATCAATAATTACATCTGAATCGGCCTAACATGAAGAATCAAAACTCAGGCACACAATTTCATATTAGGTAATGAGGGATATGACAAATTCATTTATCATCTCTACAACCTCAAGCATGGTCCAGTAGTGCCATATCCTAAAAAATGAATAAATTTTCATACTCTCCAATGGGTTCAATTAGGATAAGTGAAGTCCACTATACTCTTCACAAAATAACTTGTGTCTAAAACTAATAATTTATGCGGAATTTTAAGGTCAATTGTTTCATCAATCACTTGTCTAAGTTTTTCATCTCTAACTTTAATTATCCAATCAAAAAAAAATTTTGTGTCCCTATCTGGGATAGAGGACGTAGAAGAATGTAATATCATATTCTTCGCTAACATATAAATTTTAAAATACGACCATAATTTTAAAGAATAGATGATAGCACTCACAATTTTCTCTCTTGAAGTTTTGGGTAAAACAGGAAGAGTTTGCCAAAAATCACCTCTGAGTACAACTATTTTCCCTTCGAGTCCTACTTTTTCCCCTCTGAATTCAACTATTTCCCCTCCAAATGGTTCATTTCTAGAGTTTTTATTAGATAAATTCAATATATCTCTAATTTTGTGATCCAGCACCTTAAAAATATATCTATTCATCATGCATTCTCCATCCCATAGTATTAGACTTACTTGTTGGATTAGTTCTGCTTTCAGACTCTCTTGTTTGATGGCACACGTTAGGCAATCGCCCAAAGAGATTGAGAATCTCAAGTGTAATGTCATTCACCCATGTCCTTTCCCCATGAAAAAGTAATGTTGCAATACAACTGGATGTGGCATTCAAGAAAATCTTATCATTTGACATTAGAGAAATAAACACTGATTTTTATAAAAAAATATTTTTTCAGTTCTACTGTAACCATACATAAAAAAGAAATCTCCTCTTTCAAGTGTCACAACTTCCATTATCTCATCGTATATATTGTGCTGATATTCATTCATCGTAGATAAGTATCTCATAAAGATCATATACAAACTTTTCTTTTTCACTTTTATAATGCAAAATCATTCAAGCCATTGATACTATTCTCGTCAATGTACAAAATGTTTTATCAAAATAGAAATAATTATAAATATGAAATTATATTTCTCTTTGATGTGGTTGTAACTTGTAACTTAGTCTCGATCTTATTAGTCTCCATTCGGATTTAATATTTTCATTTGACTTTTCTTGGTCAAATTTTGTATACTTTAACCTTGTTATATAGAAAAAATGAATCTTTTCATATTTAGTAGCTAAATAATAGATTTTGGAGTTCCGATCAACAAAATTGGAAATCTGTTCTCGTAAGCTCCGTAAAGAATATGGAAAATAATATAATTCACCAAAAAAATAATGCTATCAATTTCCTTTTTAAATAGATTCTAAATCCAAAAATAGAAAGTGTTCTTTACCCCCCCCCCCCCATACGTATATATGGTAAATAAATTGGTATTTTTAAATAATTCTAAAAACTTTATTCATTAATTGTCTCAGTTCGCTTTGCTGTGAAATGCTTGAATAATTATTTATATAAATATATAATGAATTGAAATATTAAAAATTAGACTATAATCTCAAAATAAAAAATATGTTTGATAAAAAATTTCATTGGTCAAACATATCATTCAAAAAATGAACTAGGTGTTAAAAACAATAGAGTTACTAATTCTTAAGATTAACTGCATTAAACTAAAAGAACAAATAAATTAGTCACTATGTTCAATCAATAAAAAAATAAAATAAAATAATGTCAAATCAGTACTCCGTATGTTGATTAAAATTACCAACTCATTAAAATAATAAATAGACAACAGATGATTTATTAAAAATGTCATATTAGCTCGTGACATGCCAATATCATGTAAGCCAGAGTCTCAAATTTTATAATAGAAAGAAGAATTAGCCAATAAATGTCATTAGTAATTAATTGAAAGTTGTTTATAATTAACATTTATAACCTCTTAATTATAATTATTTTACATATACCTCGTAAAAAGTTTTTCATATGTGCAATAATTGGGAATGAATATTTGCTTTAATAATATGTTTTCATACTCTAAGTTAAAATTGTCAAGTCACTTAAGTCATCAAATGTGGCTGATGATGTGTAAAAAAAATTTGCCAAGTAGCCTGCCACATGTCGAATTTCTAGGAGTTTAACTCCCAAATATTATATATAAAGGATATACATTTCTAGTTTCTTTTCTCTATTGATATATCTTTCTTTTTGTTGGTTTCATTTAGACCTATCAAAATATGACCCGATCCATTTTTACACAAAACCCGACCCGAAATTAGCGGGTTTTGAACATGAATTTTGTGACCCGAACCCGAAATAACACGTACCCGAAGACCCGTTAAAGTTTTAAGTCGAGTTGGGTCGGGTCTGACACAACGGGTTAAGCACTCCAAACTTAAGAATTAAGATTTTATATTTTTATTTATTACTCAAACAATTATACCACATACAACCTGGAATACTAATATGCTCTTAGGGTCTATTTGGGAATAGCGTTAAAGATTAACGTTAGCATTTTGGATAAACTTTTAACGGTGTAGATTACTTTGAAAACGCTAACGCTAAACGCTGCCCGTAGATATTTTTTCAAAACGCTAACGCTAATCGCTAACGCTTTTCCCAAACAGACCCTTAAACTTAATTCTTCCCTCTCCATTGGCCGACTCTCCCTCTCGCAATTGCTCCGCTAATCGTTGCAGTCTTCTCTCTTCCGTCAATCATCCTCCGACCTCCAGTGGCCTCGGCTCAATGGTGAGAAGAAACAAGCACAGTAGTGGAATTCCTAATCGGTGATGTTTCACAAGTAAAAAGAAAGACAGAATTAAAAATATTAGTTCTAGATGATAACGAAAATCCTTGCAATTACATCAAAATTGTTGTATACCCAAAAGTCTTTCAAAAATATAGATTTAGAAAATCTTTGAGATGTTCACTTTTGAATTTGTATATAAGAATTTTCATTACCAAATATTTAATACTAAATTATTTATTTTATTTTTTTAATGTCTTAGTAATAAACATATTATATTTTTTTTATAAATTCAATTTAAAATATTGCAATTTACAAAAGTGTCAAAAATTTCGTCCAACCCCGTGCGTTGCACGGGTTAAAATACTAGTATATATCTATAAAGTTGAGCGGCTTAAATGCGGTAACGACATGTGTCACGCCACACGTGTACATTTGTAACATGTGTCATGCCACGTGGCATGCCATGCCCATGCGTGCGTATTAACTTTTATATTAAATAATCACTATTTTAATTATACTTTATAAATCCCTCCAGTTTATAAACTTTCACTCTCAAACTCTAATAATATTTTTTGTATTATATTTTCATCATTGTAATATATTTTAAAGTTCGAAAACTAATTTCATTAATTTAAAAATTTTAAATAAGTTATTTTTTGTAATCTATAATTTATATTTCTATAACTTCTAAAAAGCAATTTCATTAATTTATCACATATGCATCTTTTCTTAGTGCTATTGACTCTATTACATAAGCATATTTATTAACTACTCCCTTCGTCCCTTAAAAAACATCTCATTTTGACTTTTAAAGAATTTAAGGGGAGTGTATTTTGGTGTTGACTTTCCAAAGATGCCCTTTGATGTGATGGATAAAGTATGATGAAATGAGTAGATTAATAAAGAAAAAGTGTGATATGATGGGTAGGTTAAGGATTAATAGGGGTAAAAGTGACTTTTAAATAGAAAAGAGAATGATTTTTTTGGGACGAATGAAAAAAAATGAGAAGGGTTTTGTGAGACGGATGGAGTATATGATATATATATATATATATATATATATATATATATATATATTAAAACTTTAGATTTATATTATTATACACCCTCTCTCCTAAAACTGAATTCTCAATTTACGAGATTTGACCGAAGTTATTTAAATTCAATTTGTTTGATTAAGTGTGAAATTTAAAAATAAAACAATATATTTAAAAATGCATCAAAAGTTTAAAAAAATATAGATGGCATGACTATATATATTATTTTATCAAATGAGTAATGAAAATAAAAAGTAGAATGTTAAAATTTTAGAATGTTTACGAGCCCGTGCGAAGCACGTGGTTCATACTAGGATACTATATATTCTTGGGTGTTCACATCAACAATACTACCCAAGTTTTGACTTTTGACCAATTGAATTCAAACCTGAAATTGAAGTTCCAAATGTGTAGTGTGTTAGAATATAAATAACTGTTCGTGGGCCACAACCACAAGCTTGAGCTTTTGGTTGAATTGGTTTCTTGACATGGTATCGGAGCCTCGTTGACTAAGATATCAAGGGTTCGAAACTCAGCGCCACCCAGTTTAAAAAAATTAAGGCTTCACGTGCAAGGCTCGAAAAAGACTATACCTGCACGTGAGGGGGCATGTTATAATATAAATAACTGTTCCTGTGCCACAACCACAAGTTTGAACTTTTGATTGAATTGGTTCCTTGACAGTCTGCTCATGTCCTCAATTTTCTTGTGAGGGGATTTGATCCCCAAAATTTAAAGTCTATAGATATTGACTAAAATATACAGAGTAACACTCTTTTATATTTTGTGTTAACTACATTATAAATTTTAGGAGTTTCATTTTTTATTTTATCATCCATCCTCCCTGAAGGACAGCGTGCCCTAATTCCTTAGGAATGGGTCATCTCTTCTCTTGACGACTCGGTTTCAATGGGCCGGAGCTCCAACCCAACTCCCCAGGTCCCATCTTAGCTCTCTCTCTGGTCTTGTTCCTTTAGTTGGACAGGATCCTCTCTCTTACCAACTCATTTACTTTACTATACTTGGGCGGGATCCTCTTCAAGATATGGACCCTAACTTGGGCCTTGTACATATCTAGACCCAAATCATCTTATAATGCCTTGATGGGCTAGGTTCACATCAATTATTTTATCAAATGAATGAAAAAAATAGAAAAAAAAATTAATACAGTTAGACTATATAAATAATAAATTATGAATTTAAATTGGGACGGAAGAAATATGAGATAATGTCTTTTTAATAATATTATACCATTAACTTATACTGAGTAATTTATTAAAAAATAACATCATTATGATTTATTATGTTTCGGCATATAGTATATATGATTAACGATCTTAACATCCTCAATTGAATACAACCAACAAGAGTATTAAATGAGTGTAATTTTTTAATCGTAAGAAAATTGGAAAAACAAATTTTATACAAAAATGTATAAAAATTGTGGAAAAGGTGTAATTGAAATTAGGGAAAAATTGTTGAAGAATTGTGAAAAATGTCATCGGTGCAATTGTAGTATCAGGAAACAATGTCGGGGAGAAAGGGTACATACTGCGAAGGTACTTAGTCCCGCTATATCTTGGATTACGCTTGAAATCTCGTAGAAGACAATTTCCGTTAACTTTATGTTTTGTTATGACTACACTACAAGAAATTTGGTATTTTGGCATACTTAAAATTGTTTTTCGCCACACTTATAAATGTGGAAAAAACGATTTGCCACACATGCCCTAAGTGCAGCAACGTAAATGTGGGGAATTTTTTGCTGCACTTTTGGATAAGTGTGGCTAATGATTACATTAGCAACACTTATATATGTAGCTAATATTTAATTTTACAACACTTGATGTGTTCTTAACACATCCACACATACAAGTGTGGAGAATGTCACGTATTTAAAAATAATAAACTATTTATGTGCACACAAATCAGTGTTGCAAATAATGATCAATTGAAATTTTTTAAAGATTTCTAATTTTTTCATTATCATATACTTCGTATATATTAGTAACACAATACCAGTTAGAAATACTTAATTACAGTACGTATAGCTCAAAAATTTAAAGTCAATGCATGCCATGAAGATTTTAAAATCTCACACTATTAATTAGAAGTAAAAAACAAGCCCAATACCTAAATGCTCTCAAATATTTCCCAAAACAACATTTGAAAAAGACAATACTTGACAAAAGCTGCGCTTATGTAAACTACTCTGTTTATTTCTGTTCTTGAGACCCTTTTGGAGTTTTGCTCCGAACCTTGGCATCAATCACCGCATACTGCCTTTTAGTCATAGGCTTTCAGCTATATATGGGTTTCTCAACAAAAGCATCGATCTCATCCTCTTTTGGCTCACAAGGTGGAGTTGCGCTATTGTCTTTTGCCAACGAGGAATTCGTAGCAGCTCCCCAAGATTGAGTGACCAAACAATCCACCTATGACACCAAGGAACTCCTTCAAGGCTTTAAGTTTTTCCTGAATGCAATGTCTCAAAGGCTGGCCAAAGCTCCAACCCCTTATTTTCAATCCTCAGTGCAGACACTACATCAAGAATAATCTTCTTTAGAATAATGACTTCTAGAATATGAAGTGCATGCTTCTATAACAATAGTTACCCATTCAACGATCAATGGCTAGAAAAAGAATCTGTACATGGCATACTAGTGTATGCCAATGGTACTCCTTCACGTCAAAAAAAAACCAAGACTGCAGTTGCAGCACAAAGCATACCAGGATTGGCTTTCTTGGACTTCTTTTGTGGATGCATCCTCCCTTTGAGGCCTTGAGCTAATATGATGACTTGCCCTCCAACCTAAGACGAACACCAACCCAAAAGAGAGTAAAAACCAAAGCCAAATCTACCAATACAAAATTCAAATTCAGAATTATCCAAATATTCTGCAATGTCAAACTTATTCAGCAATTTCAAAGTCCATCGTTAGTGAGTCTCAAATTTAGCACCATGCATATGTCCTTGCAACTACTCCGTAATATATATAATGACTCACTAAACAAATCAGTCAACTGAACCCAAGAAAATAGATGCATCATACTCAATCTTATTGATAATCAAATAAACATCTGCAAGACTCATCTAATTTACTTCAAGATGTTAGACTAGGTAAAAGAGAACATACCATATAACAATGTCTTCCACAACAGCAGCCTAAAAGAATATGATGGTAATTGCTAGCCCTGTAATTTAAAAAAAACATAGTCTGTATAAAAAAGAAGAGGTTGATTTGTAACAAAAAGTTTTAACCTTTATGGCATTCAAAGCATTTTCCACCAAGTCTTTATTTTTCTAGTTCTGTTTCAGTTTGTGCTCCAAACTTCAAAATTGAATAGGAACAAACCTTATTCAGTAATCATAATAATCCTCCACAAATGTTCATTTCTCACTTGAATAGAAAATGCACAAAGAAACAAAGAATGAAAATAACACTTACTATTCAAAAGAAGTTTTTAGATTCCAACATGATGAAATGGCAATGATGATCGTTTTCTCAAACGTCACAAGGAGCGTTAGATATACCCGCTCCAATACCAAAATTGTAGGATCGTTTTTCTGGAACTTCCCAGTGGGTCACCCATCCTGGGACTACTCCCGTTCCAGCACGCTTAACTACAGAGTTCTGAAGTTAAAGAGGTGCCAAATGCTTCCTAAAAGCAATTGGTGATGGGAATTGTTCAGAATCTTTTTCTACCCTAAAGACCTAAGTTACTTTTTTAACACAAGTCAGTTTCACATAGATATCAAACCAATAAGCCTACACACTTCAGACTAAATGGGAATAAAACAAATCTGATTAGCCACATCCTACAAGTATTAGGTAAATACATTCAGCACATGGAGTGTAGAGAAGCCAACAGCAATTAGTCTAAAATAATGTTCATCCATATTATGTGTATATACATAGTGCATAAATAATAGGGAACAACATAAGTAGAGTAATCTCATGGAATGAGGGATATAATAGTGAAACATGTGTAAACACTTGATAGAAAGATTTACCACGGAAGAATGAGCTATGAAACTGGATGTTACAGATGCATTAACTAGATCCCAAGACTATAACCCTCCGCTACGCCTTATCGCCTTTGTAAAGCTAAATTTTGTTGATTTGAGCCCTGAAATTGATATATTTGGAAAATTCAAACTTTAACCATCGTTATAATAAAAACATGTAGACTTACAATAAGAAAGTCTCTCCCTATAATGTTCCAACCTACAGCCTCCATAACATCTTCCTGAAAGTAAACAATCAAAAAACTTTTAGTCACTAGAAGTCGGAATCAAGTATAAATTCTCAAAAGCCTAAAATTAAATTCTCCATAGCTAGCTTGTTACTTAGATAGTTTAGAAAATGAAAAAGCTAAGTGATACTGAATATCAAATATAAACTCTCAAAAGCTAAGTGATACGGACTCGTCCCTCAAAACTAACATTCAACTCTAACCCACGTGTGCCAATTGAAAATTTATTCTTAATTCTTAACAAAAGATTAAACGATGCTTTGTTCTTAAATAAATATGAATGAATGTTTTATTTTTCAAATATTTTTAAAATATTATGCATGTGAATACTAATTTAGTAATAACCCAATTCGTTAACTCGTTAGTTCGGGTTACGTGAGTTGAGCTTCGATAATCACCTTAGTAGCAGTAGTGAACATACCCATTTGCTTGAAGGAAAGACCTAGTGCCTCAAAAGGAAGAAAGGCAACAATGAAACCTGAGGGCCACAGGCAAAGCTGGCATAAAAATGACTTAGATACCAAAAAGGAACTCCATTCTGAGGGTTGAGTTTTGCACATATGAGAAACTGTTCTGCGGCTTTCCCCTTGGTCTCTTCATCTCCGCTGCTGCTGGCAGCCTTCTCTCAGAGAAGCAATCCTAGATCAAGCCTTCCCTCTGTCAACTTTCTCCTATAGAGTATCTCAAAATTCATTCTTCATTCAAACTCATTAGTTTAATAAGCAGAATTCAAAGACAACTCATTCAACTAATTTCACACCTTTTCAGATACAAATTTAGAATTGAAAATCAAGCCATCAATACTTTCGGAAAAAAAACTGATTGAACAAGAAACAGTTCAAGTGTTCAAAGTTAGTTTTCAGATATATAAGTACAAAAATGTCAAAAACTGATTGAACAAGAATTGGTACATATATACCATCACTATAAAAGTAATTACCACTATTGTACTCAATAACAGAATTGCCTTTCAAGCTTTTTGAATAAATTTTTTTTTCAATTCTAGCAAGAGTGAAGCTCAATAATTTGCAATACTCTGTAAGATTACAAGCAAAATTAAACACGACTATAAAGGAGACAAATTTAAGAAAACTAGTACGGCATATATACAGAGTATATATTACACATACCGATGATGAATAAAATTTTAAAGAAACTGCAAAATAAAAAGAATGGACATGCAGCAAATGTAAAAAAAACAAACGATTTTGAGGTTAAGTTATAAACAAAAACCTGATGAACCGCTCTCGTATGTTAGATTTTTGAAAATCGATGGGTTCTAAGGCGATTGATATCAACGGATTGAAGGCAAACCAAAGCGATGCACACTGCAGAAAATCCAATTGATATCAACGAATTGAAGGCAAAGGAAACTGGTGCGCGCTGCGGATCAGAAAATCCACTATTTGAAGGCAATCCGAATGAATTACAGTAGGAATTGATGAATTATTTATAGAGGTGAATGAATGAAAAAGGGGGCGCTGAATTGAAAATACTCAAAACAGTACTCCACCGTGCGTATCTAATTATCCACAAAATTAAGGAGTAAAACATAATAAGGGGAGTTTTTTTAATTAGGCGCAGGTATAGATGGAAAAAGTGGGCGCTGCACTGGCGTTGTATATTTTTTTTAATTTTCTAAATTTAAAATATTTGATTTTTATAAATTCATTTGATTTTCGGCACACTTAATTATGTGGGTATATGAAATCACTAATAACCTCTCTTATAAGTGCGGCAATATCATAAATAGTTAAATTTTGTTACCACACTTGGTTAAGTGCGGCTAATTAAATTGAGGCTAAACACCAATTTTCTTGTAGTGCTATCAATAAGAGTCAAGACTAAACGTTGTCAATTGTTAAATATTACCTCCTCTGTGCACAAATAAATTTCCCGTTGTGCGTTACGATGTTTGATTGAAGTTATTTTCAAATCATTTTATATGAAAAATTTTATAAAATTTAAAAACAAAAATTGCATATTAAAAAATTATATAAAAAAATCAACAAAATTAGAAGTGACATTACTATATTATTTTATCAAATGAGTGACGAAAATAGCCCAACAAAGTGAATAAAGTTTGACCCTGTGAATAGTGAACGAGAAGTTTATTTGTGGACAAGAGTATTTTTTACTAAATCAATATTTACTCATGATCAACTTTATATTACTTTTTTCGCGAGTGAAACAAAAACATAATTGAAAGTGTTAATTTTAAATGACAGCGGCAGCCTTCGCTACTTTACCAAAAATGAGGTATGGCCCGAAGTTTTCAAGAAATAGACTTAAATTATACATTCACATGTTCATTTCCATAGAAGAATTTCCATTTGGGATATCATTTCTAAAAAAAACAAAAATAAAGAATAAAAAAATACCCATACATGACACATGTCAAAATGCTACTTTCCTTTAAAAAAATCACTAATGTCACCACTCTGAAGGAGTACGGACGTCATTAGAGACTCTATTTCTGTATGTACAATGTAATTAGTACGGCAAGAAACACAACTTACAAACAAGATGAAACGTGTTGCACTTAACATTTTTAAACGGATTAATAAATGAATGAATGAAGGAAATGAAGAAAAAAGAGAGACAATTATACTCGGTATTGATTAAATTGCATTGATCATTCCTCCGTTTTCTCTGGAACTGGTGAAGGTGAGGCCGCCGCCTGCGCCGCCGCAGCAAGCTCCGGCTTAATCTCCTCCAGCTTCTCCAGAACTTGGCGGGCTTCCGGCCTAGCGGCCGGCGAAGGGTCGACGCAATGAAGCGCCAGTTTCAAGGTCTCGAGCATCTCCTCCCCGGCGGCGGGGGCGTCCCTCATCAGCTCCACGTCGAACACCTCGTTGGTCCACTCCTCCTTCACGATTGACGCCACCCACGCCGGCAAGTCCGTCCCGCCGGCCGCCGTCGCCTCCCCGGGGGACCGCCCCGTCAGCAGCTCCAGCAGGATCACTCCGAGGCTGTACACGTCCGTCTTGGCGCTGGCGTTCTTGAGCTTGGAGAACTCCGGCGCGCGGTACCCGGACGCGGCGGCGGTGGCGACGACGTTGGCGTTGCCGGCGCTGGTCATGAGCCTGGACAGTCCGACGTCTCCGATCCTGGGATGGTTGGAGTCGTCGAGGAGGATGTTGGTTGAGGTGAGGTTTCCGTGTACGATGTTGTTGTTGTTGTTCTCTTTGGAGTGGAGGAAACAGAGGCCGCGTGTAATGCCCATTGCTATGCTCATCCTTGTCGCCCAATCTATGCCTGTTTCCGGCCCTCTAGCTGCGGTAAGAAAAACATATTAACTCCGGTAATTTACTTTTTACAATTACATCCTCCCAATAATTTTTTTCATTTGTATATTTTTATTAATAATTTACTAAAATAAAATATTCTTATTATTTTTTATTTCGGAATTTTAAAGTAGTTTTTAACTACTCACTTCTCTAAAAAAACAAATTATTCTATGGTCTTTAGGTTAATACTTATTCTCGTCCTAAAAATATTTCATTTTAAAACTTTTTTTGTAGAGTTACACTCTTTGATTATAAATTAAACGTAATCTTTATAATTAAATAATATAAAAATTTGATCATCTTGGTTCCCATGACATTCGGAACCAATGTCATGCGAACCCCCTCAAATTTGATATATCAAAACTATATCTTGAAATAAATCCAATTACACTAAATTTATATTAATTTATGGTAAAATAATATCAATTCTCAAAAAAAGTCAAAAAATGAAAGTTTTTTAAGAGGGAGAGTATGTGGTAAGTAATGCCAAGAGGGAGAGAGTATGTTGGAATTGTAACAAGTATTGCAATAAAAAAAAAAAGAAAGGAGAGGTAAAGAGAAGGGAAACATACCATGGAGGAAGGAGGAAAGGCTGCCATTAGACATGTAATCATAGACAAGAAGCTTCTCTCCTTTAGGGCCCAAATAATAAGCTCTGAGAGCCAAGATGTAGGGGTCCCTGATTTTCCCCAGCTCGCACACCTCCTGCTCGAACTCTCTCTGCCCCTTTGTGATCCTCTCCCTCAGCCTCTTCACCGCCACCTGATTCCCGTCCTCCAGCGTCGCCTTGTACGCCGTCCCGTACGTGCTCTTCCCCATTATCTCCGCCGTCGCGCACAGCAAGTCGTCCGCCGTGAACGCCAACGGCCCGTCGAAGTGCACCAGTTTCCCCCCGCCCCCTGTCTCCCCTGCCCCGCCTTCTTTCTCCCCGCCTCCTGCGGCTTTTCCGGTTGCCGCCCCTCCTCCCGCGGCTGCGGCCGGAGCTTCCTTCCCGCCGCCGCCGCTTACCTTCTTCTTGATCAAGCAGACGAGAAGCGTGCAGCAGAGGATTAGCAGGAGGATTGAAAGTACTCCGGCGGCTATCAGAATTATGTCCTTCGTGCTTAGCTTCCGATGTCCTCGGCTGGTCGGAAACGAAGAAGAAGGGGCTTGCGACAACGGGGGAGCCGCCGGAGGAGAAGGGCACGGAGCAGAAGGGGAATACCCACAAAGATTGGGATTCCCAACAAAAGCGCTTGAATTGTATTTCTTGGAGAGAAGAAACGGGACGGGCCCAGAGAGGAGATTGTAGGAGACGTTTAGAGATGTCAAGTTTGGCAAAGAAGGAATCGATTTCGGGATTTCGCCGCTGAACTCGTTCTTGGACAGATCAAGAACGGCCAGGCCGGAGATATTCCGAATCGACTCCGGGATCCCACCGGCGATCTTATTGCTCCCCAAATTCAGGGTTGTGAGAGCTGCGAGTTTGGTAAAACTGGAGGGGAAGCTGCCATTGATGGCATTATTGGACAAATCAAGAACCAGAAGGGTCTTGTTACCAGCTCCCCAAGTGTCGGGAATAGGGCCGGAGAGATTATTATGGTGAAGGGAAAGAAACACAAGAGAAGGGGACTGACTGAGACTCACTGGGATTGATCCAGACAGATAATTGAAGCTCAGATTCAGCCTGAAAAGCCGGGTGGGGTTTCCGAGACTGGGAGGGAGATTCCCACTTAGCTGATTGTTGCTCAGATCCAGTGTCTGAAGAACAGGGGATCGCCCGAGCGACGGCGGGACCCGACCCGAGATCCGGTTGTTGAAGAGGTGGAGTCCCCTGAGGTTGGGGAGGAGACCGATGGCCGCCGGAATGGAGCCGCCGATGACATTGTCGTGGAGGCTGAGCTTCCTCAGAGCCTGCAATTCCCCGATCTTCTCCGAGATTCTCCCGCCCAGGCCTTTCCACGGAAGGTTTATGGCAATCACCTGTCCTCTCACGCACTTGATCCCGGCCCACCGGCCGGAACAAGCCCCGGCGATCCCGCTGCCGTTACTCCAGCTCGTCAGAACTCCCCGGAAATCGATTAGCTCGCTCTTCACGCGGCTCAGCGCCTCGTAATCCTCGCGGGTCACCATTACTCCATCCCAACTCCCCCTGCTCCAAGAAACCTGCACAAAACTAAAAAACAGAGCAATATGAAGTAAACCACCGTTGTAATTGCCCCATTTCCCCATCGCAAGGTGAAATCTTTACAAGAAAGAAAAATGGGTACGATTGATTCTGAGTTTAACTGGAGAAGAAGAAGAAGAATGGTGAGAAAAGAGATGGAGTGATAACAATGGAGAAGAATGAAGAGAGTAGAGTGAAGGCGATCAAGAGAGCGGAGTCTTGATAGTTTTGAGGCTACAACGGCTAGTGTGGGAGTAAAGATGTTTGATTTTATTTATTTTAATTTGTACGGAGTATTTTTTGTTGTTACTCTTCAATGTGGGCCGTTTTATGTGTTGATTGTTCTTCATCGTTAATGGTTATACTGGTAAAATGATAATGTGGTCTGATTTGTCCAACGGCTATATGAGGGAAGCGCGGGTTGGTCAACAAAACCATTTTTTATGCTGCAAGAAATAATATTCTGAAATCCGACTGTATGGAATTTTTATCAAAATAACACAATTTTTATCAAAATATCCTTAGAGCATCTCCAATGAGAGGGTAAAAAGTGTATATTGTTAAATATACACTTTATACACTACAATATATACATTTTAACCCCTCCAATGAATGGTGTAAATAATGCACTATAGTCCAAAATACAATTCTCAACTTCTATATATACACTCTTCTATTCACATCTTGTAAAAACTTTATTACTATTCCCTCCGTTTCTAAATATTTGCCACATTTGTAATCTCGAGGCAAAATATCAAGTTTTTTCAATTCATTTTATTTACATATTGGTATAAAATAAAAAATAAAATTTACATATCAAAAAACTATATGAAAAGTTCTTCGAAATAAGATGTGTCAAGGATATTTTATTTTATCAAATAACTAATGAAAACGTAGAAATAAACAAAAGTTCCCGTGAGTGCTGAAAAAACAAACGTTGCAAATAATTTGGGACGGAGGGAGTAAAATAATGCATGATTAATTTTGTTAATTCTTCCTATCCAATGATGGGTGTATCTCACCCATGACCGGTCAAAGAACAGAACCGAATAGTTGACCGGTCAAAGAGGTTAAACTTGAATAGAGGACTTGAATCGTCAGCGAAGGGGATAGATGGTTGACCAAAAGGTTGACTGGTACACTTCGGATAGTATACCGGTCAAACTGTTCTATCGTCTAAATCCATCCTTCGAAGCTAGCTAATCAACCCTCAAGAACCAACCGGTGAAGTTTCCGAAGATTAAAGGGTGTCGGCAGGAAGAGTCCAAAAGGACTTGGATTGTTGTGACTGGCATTACTGGAGAATCAGTGGAGATGCCAAAGGAACTTTTCCAAACCAGAACACGACAAGGGCACAACCCCCCTCGCAAGATGATAAGGCAGCTCAGAGACAGTCACCTCGCACCACATCAGCTGCGTGCCCCCACGTGGGCGCACGTGGGCCTGTCCCCCCAGCTTAGTATATATACCTCTTGTAACCCTCGAAGAAGGGGATCCGAATTCATTCTCTCTAAACTCCCTTGTAAAAGCACCCGTGCATTCTCCGTTATAATATAAATTGGGCTACAGGTGTTCCACCTAAAGTCCTACCGGTCAAACTGTGTGTTTTTACCTTTTTTACTTTACCAAGTCAAGCAAACTATTCTAGGCCCGGTCTAGTATAGTTTGACCGGTCAAGTAATTTACACCATCATTTTTGGAGCCACCCGTGGGACCGTTAAGGTTTCTTCTCTTCTAAACACAAACCTACCCACAAAAACACCACTCAAAATATCTTCAAGCCAACAAATCAACGCTACTTCCACTCAGGTGCAAGCCACCAATGAGGGTACCAACATCCCTGTGGCTGCTACCCTACCGGTCATTTCAGCCCCAGTGTTGCCTTTGGGTCTGAGCTCTGTCCCAACTCCTAGCGTGATCAGCCCATTCACGACCCCTGTCCCTTCCGCTGGACCAAGGGTCACGTTCCCACCAAGCATGACTCAGTTCATGAATGACCCAGCCAACCTACAGGCCATCCAGGGCTTTGGCCAGGTCATGGCCATGTGGCAACAGAGCGGGGGGATGCCTTTTCTCCCTGGTATGTTCCCGTTGGCTCTTCCAGGCGCAGGAACCATGCCCCTACAAGCTCCAATGGCAGTGACGCCGTTCCAGACGCCGATGCCGCAGCCATCACCTTTCCAGCCGCAGCTGGTCAGCACCATAGCCCCTGTCAACTTGACTGGCGCGCTTAACGCTGCAGGGCCGTCGCGTCCCCCGCAAGGTACGAATCCGCAAGTCACCCCAGATGGTCACTGCATCTTAGTTGAGAGCGGAGACGGCGAGTGGGACATTCCAAGGGCCCACAAGAAGAAGAAGGGAAAAACTATCCGCCCAGCAACTTCCCGAAACTCCGCCTTCGAAAGGTTGGAGGACAGGGAAGAGTGCCAGAGAAAGTTGGCCAAACAGAGGCTGGGGCAGAGCGTTGCCCATGTCAGCGCGTTCGCCCGGTTAGGCAAGGTGCGGGAGGCCGAGCCGATGTATAGAACCGAATCAAATCCGATCCGAAATTTAACCGATCCGATCCGAACCGAAAAAATCTAATCCAAAACTGATCCGATTCACCCGATTGCCACCTCTAGTTATTATTAGTGCTTTTTACCGTCATTATTGTTTTATATTTTTTTTATTTTTGGTTGGTTATTTGTTTTCTATTTTGTTCCTCCTAACACTTAATGCTTTTGAGTTTCTAACACTACTTAATGCTTTTAAGTTTTCTTTATTATTATTATTATTCAAATTTTTCTCGCAAAAAATTGCTACGGAGTACCCTCTATTTTGTAACAAAAACCCTTAGGTCCCATTTTTTTCTAGAATATACCACAGGGGCACTTAAGAAATACTCTCTCCATTTGGAAAAACCCTTCCCATTTGATTTGGGGGCAAAAATAAGGAAGTGTTAAATTATAGTTGATTTCCAATTTTGCCCCTGATGTGATGGGTAAAATTAAGATGTGATGGATAGATTATTAGAGAAAAAGTATGATGTGATAGGTAGGGTAGGAAAAAGTAAGGGTAAAAGTGGTTTTTTAATAGAAAGGGGAAGTGTTTTGTTGGAAGTGGAAAAAATGAAAGAGGAAGTGTTTTTGAGAACGGAGGGAGTATCTTAATTAACCAGGGGGACTTTCCGTCCAAACCCACGTTATTGTTTGTTACGCCGCTAGTTTTAATTATAAGAGGCATTGAAATTCCCAATTTAACCCCACTTCTTTCCTCTTCAAGCTACGAATGCATCAAACCTCTACATTATTCTCGTTAATTTTATAGCTCTTTGCTTTTGTGGGTTGATTGACCTCCTGTTCCCATAACCAGATGTTTTGAGATTGGGATCATCCCTTATTCGCTCTTTGTGCAGTTAAAAAGCCCAAGAATTGAACTCAATAATCCGCGCGGGTTGAGATTGAATGCAGTTGACCAAAGAGGTGTGCCTTTAGTGTGGTATGCGATTATTGCTTTGATTTCTATTTGTACTTTGATGATTGAACTTATTTACTTGTTAATTCTTTTACACTATGCTTGATTCAAAGAATTTGGAAGGAAAACAAAAAATCCTCTCATTTTCCTCACAAAAGTGGGAGGAATTTGGTTTTTTCCTCACCCTTGTTAGTCTTATTTTCTTTTCCATCAATTTTCTTTTTTTTTTCTCTAGCCAAACATGAAATAATGTTTTCCCTCTCATTTTTTTGCCTTTCAAATTCCTTGAACCAAACATAGTGCTAAAATCTTAACATAGAGATTTTGGTTTTTAATTTAGTTTATATCAAAGTGTTTGACTACACAATGATTACTAGATATCATGTACAAACTATAAAAATGCATATATAGATTTTACTAGAGAATTCAGCTCTATGAGGCACGCCTTCACTTTGTCCATCGAGTCTTAGTTTTTTTGGACCTAGGTGCACATCTCTCATTTTAAATTTAAGGTCCAATTACTTTGCTAATTTGCTAAAAGATTTGTTGGCTTTGTCAACCAGCTAACCTAGATTACAAGTTAATTACATTTGCAACAAGCCTGCTGACATCTAAACGTTTTATGCCTCAGCATGAGAGGGCATGTAGAAATATGTAAAAGCCCCTAGAAAGTTGGACATCATTTGGTAGCTTCTCAACTTTGCAATGTGGGTGAAAGTTGGACATCATTTCTCTGTTTTGCATTCCTAATGTAGGTTCGTGAGGATAGCTACAAATGGGCCGACCCTCCAATATGCAAACGAGATAAGAAGATCATCTTATTGGGCTGCTAAATAAGACCGATGGAAAAGAAGAAGAGATAAAGTGATTAAACGAACATATCAAAGAGAAGAAAATTGAGAACATTGGAACTTTTGTGTTTGGTTTAGGAGTAGGAATTGCCCTCAGCATTGTAGTGTTTGTGTAACCAAGTTTATGTTTTTGTAGTGAAGTATGTATTTTAAAACTTTCATGTTTGGTTTAGGTGTTGGAAGTAATGATCTATTTGAGAACATGTGTTTTTATAGCAATTGATTTTGTGCAATCCTAGTAAACTTATAAACCAACGCTTGTTGTGTTGATTCACAAGTGTAGCTAAGCAAGGCCATTGATATCAATTTTATTCATGCCTAAAGAAAAGTGAACCAAATATGAGTGTAAACAACACCAATATGTTATTCACGACAAATTGGAGAAACAGCACCAAACATGAACATGCCATATGGAAAAATTACATGGGAAAACACAAAAACAACCTAGCTAAGACAAAAACCTAAAGCAAAAATCCTTCATTAAAAGAGATAAATCATATCACGGCAGCCAATAAGTTTTTATGCTCCAATAACCATCTAGACAAAAACCTAAAGCAAAAAAAAAAAGTTCAAACCTAAACCATATCCACTGTTTCCCAACAAAAAAATACTCCGTATTACATGTTCAGTAGGCAACATAATATAGAAAAAACATTGAAAATCATTTTTAAATCACTTCTACACTTTTGTTGATACTTTTTTCTTTTTTGGTACTTCTTCAGCTACCTTAGCTTTTAGCTTCATCTCTGCCCTGCCCAATCTGAACCAGAAGATAGTGTCTTTGTTTGAATTTATTTGTAGGGAGGATGATATTTAAACAATCTGAAAGTGTACTCCACTTCTGTAAAAGCAGTCACAAGTTTGATCAAACAAAAACCCTAGATTCATGTTAGTTGAATTCAAACAAAAATATGACAAATCAGCATGACCATGAACACTTACCATGAACAAATCTTAGGGAATCCAAACGTAGAACCACCACGATGGCCGGAGATGTTGACGGGAAGTCAAATGAGTCTGCTAGTTGCCTTTCGAGAAGATGGAGTATAAAAGTACCAGGTACTTTTTATCTTTATTGGAACTAATGAAGGGTAAACTGGACAAATCACTTTGTATAACGTGGGTTTGGACGGAAAGCTCATCTTGGTTACTTAACAGATATTTTAAGCACCCCATGGTATATTTTGGAAAAAGATAGGACCTAGAAGTCTTTATTACTCTCTCCGTCCCAAAAAGAATGAGACGGTTTGACTTGTTGGAAAATTAAGGGAGGGATATTTTGGTATTGACTTTCTAAAAATATCCTTGATGTGATGGATAAAAGTAGGATGTGATGGGTAGATTATTAGAAAAAAGGTATGGTGTGATAGTTAGGGTATGAAAAAGTAAGGGGTAAAAGTGGTTTTTTAATAGAAATGTAACGAACTTTACGGGACGCAGTTTTTTCTAAACGTAACAAACTTTTTGAGACGGAGAAAGTACAAAATAAGAGGTACCTGTTAGCAATTTTTTGTTTTTCTCGCCTCTATTTGTTAGTTTGGACTCTTTGCTTTTATTTTTTTTATTCTCTACTTGCCGATTGTAGTGGCCACATTATTCATTTCTCTTTTTTTTTCTTTTTTTTTCTCTTTCGTCTGTTTCCCATATATAGGAAATCTGACTTTGTTTACTATTAAAACATTTTTGTTTTACTATACGATTCTGGTATACATGTTCTTAGCTTTCCCTTTATTTTTTTGGAAAATGCTATGGTGCCACCACATGGGTGCACCCATGGTAGCACTCATGTGGTGGCACCTTAGCATGGTCCTATTTTTTTATGTTTTCTTAAAAAGGTCTTTTGAGTGTTTTACTCTTTAAGCCTTTTGGTTGCAAGTTAGTATTTTTCATTCTTTAATGTTTTTAGTTTGGTGGGGTTCTAAAAAAAATAATTTATGTTCCTCTTTTTAGTTTGTTGCGAGATATTCTTTTTTTAGGGATATTTTTTTTCCAGCTTGCTAATTTTTCATCATTTTTTTTGCATTTTTTTAAATGGTTTTCAGTTTTATTGTACGGAGTATTAGTTTACAGTTTTTTTGCTCTTGAGTGTAATTTGTAAATGGGTTTTATGATGGTTTTTTTTCAGTTCTTGAAACTTTTTTTAACAACAGAAAAATGCCCTTTACACACAGAATTTTTAGAAAATGAACTATAAATGAAGCATTGATCTTTCATGTTTAAGCAACATTGCACTGGGTAATTCATTTTTTTTCTTTTGAAAGGCTAATTTTATAAAGCCAAAAGTACATTTTCTTTAAAAAAAAATCAGTTTTGGATTAACACTTCAACTAAATTCATAGCTTGGGCTGCATGTTTTAAAAAGTTGGAGGCAAGGTATTAGCTCTACTTTCTAACATGCACATAAAACTATATGAAAAGTACGAAATAGAGAAATACCTCCTCAACTTAGCATACCTCAATGTTCAATTCATTTCCTTAATTGGATAGCATATGCACCTATAAATGTGGCAGGCTCTGGCAGCTATCCACATTGTTTGATCACACATTTAAAAACATTGGCACATAGGTCACCTGAAGTGCAGCTTCCTCCATTGCTTTGTATAATCAGTAAAACCTTATAGAGTATCAAGAAGGCATCTGACTGCTCTTTTGTTAGGCCCCCACTGCAAATAAATGGAAAGAAAAGAAAAGAGAGCACACAACTTTTTAACATGGTTCGGCACCTCAAGACCTACTCCACGACCCCCTCTGGGATAAAATCTCACTAGTAATTTTTGCACGGAAAAATTACAAACCCTCTCCAATATTTGACACTCACAACCTAAAATCTAATACACAATTATATAGATTGAAGGATTGTGTTGTGTGATGGAAGCCTATATCTCCTCTTTATTTATAGGCTCCAATCCCTCCTCAATTTTCCTATCCCACCGATGTGGGACTTTGAAGTAACACTCAACA